ATTTCGTTGAACATATTGTCGAGATGTGTGGTGCCACCCTGAGACATGAACAAATGCCTCAATGGCGTCATGCCGAGACAGATAAACTATATGTGATGTTTAGTCAGCATTGTCCGCACAGATTGCTTAAAAGGCGCGGACCTTGTCATTATTTAGAAGAAATTCAGAGTATTTTTTCATACCATTTCAAGTGTTCTACAATCTCTTTCACATATGACTATCCAACATCAGACATCCTTATCAAACACCCTTCAGCCCCGTAGATTTAAGCTCTTACTATAACAACATATAAAACAAAATGTTGACAGCAAGATCAGACGTTGCTATAATCATAGAGGTAACGTTCGTAGCGGTACAATTAGTGTAGAGGAGTCACTCAGTGGTGGTATAGAGTAGTGCTAAGGATCCAAGTGTTTACCATTGTTTACTATTTTAGCATTTGCAATGTTGAAGATTCCAGGGACGTTCCAATAGACACAATAGGAAGTAGAAGTAGAAAAATCGGTTGACTCTTCTGTGTAGTAAATAAACAACATCAGTAAATTGAAGACATTTTGGAGCATAAAATGGCTTACAGATACCCGGTGTGGTTGAGTAGGATTCAAGACGAAAAGCATACGATTACATAATACTGCAAGTGGCCACAGAAACCTCTCCTAGGCACGTCACCTGACGGAGATCCAAGTTGAGGGTGGGGACCATGACTAAGCCTTACATAAGACCGTCAACTGCCCGATGATTTTTGCAAATTTGGTCGTGGGCATAAGGACGGGGTCATCTTAAATCTGGGGCGTGCCGGCAGAGAGTGGCCAAGTAAACGGAGTATTTGCCTCATGGATATCGAGGCAGTCCTTTTGGGGGAAAAGGAAAAAAAGAGTTGTTTTTAAATGCTGATTCCCAATTTAGGGTAGCATTTAAATGTTGAGATTGGCATTCCAAGAAGACATGGGCAATCAAGGAAATATCCATACCATGTGGTGCGAATTGCCGCGGCTTTCTCCGCGCCTACCCACTCGTCTTCCCATCCCGGACTTAATCTGGGCAGTTATGCTCTAATTTGGTATCAACAACAACCCTAACATGTCCGCGGACAACTCTTCAGTCCCAGGGCGTGTGTTGGATCTTCCACCCCGTGCCTTACGCGACGTCTTCCGCGTCTGTCTCAGCGCTAAAGAATACCGATTCCTCCACGAATTAGTGATCAAACGCGCTCCTGCCATCCAAAGCAAGCTCCCCTCTCCATCTCGCTACGATGCCATCGCTCGTCCGAAAAATCGACACAGTGAAGCTGCTGTTCGCTCCTCTCTGCGAGTCTTTATTGGCTCCGGAATCGCCTTGAAGGTGGCGGATTCATTGATCACTCGGTTTCAAGGCGCTTCACAGTAAGAGCAATTTTGTTTACCATGAGACCCCTCCTTTAAGAATATACACCAACGCTGGCTCTGACGAACAGGAAAAAGACCCGCACTCCCTTCCTCCGGTCTCCCAAATTTCGTCTTTCTATCTCCCTCTCCCTCCTCCTTCTGATCCATCGCCTCCTCTACCGCTTCCTCATCCGACTGCGAGCCAGCCTTCGCACTGATGATGCAAAGCCGTTCAGAAAGCGCAACCCACGCATTTCGCGGGCGCTGACCTCGCGCTTTGCGCCAGCGATCGGCGCAAGTCTGGCGGGGTTCGTCCTGGGCATCTGCCCGCAGGACCAACTTCGACTGACTGCGGCGATTCATGCAAGCACCAGGAGCTTGGAGTTCTTGTTTAATGTCCTGGACTCCAAAGGCTGGTTGGATAAGCGCCCATGGTGGTTCGGCAGCTGGCTGTTGATGCCCATCTCATTTGCGCAGCTCTTCCATGCTTTTGTGTTTGATTCCGAGACTACACCTTGGGTAAGTGACTGAAAAAACTTTTGGTTTTAGGTACGGTTGCTAATTTGATGCCACAGTGGCTTCCAAAGATTATTCTCAAGCACTCGCCGAGTTACATCCAAGGCCGACCGGAGTCGCTCCCGGACAACATTGCCTGGCCCGAGAAGGAAGAGATTGTGAAGTCTCTTGCCTCTATTGCTGATCTTCGCTGGCCGTATGTTTGAAGTTGAGTCTCTTAACGAGTATAGCGGTCGCTAAGATGATGCAGGGCATTCGTTTCTCCAATTCTACACCCGGGCGATCCCAACACCTTACCGGTATCAGTGGCTTCCATCTCCCCAATAACTGGACTAGCACACCCTGCAATCTCAAGTCTATCATGCGCCCTCTTGCACCCAACCCTCCCGAACTGTAACACAGCGTTCTTGCATCACATTCTCCTCTCCGTGCCGCCACTTGCACGGCTCCTCACGACCATCACTCTGGCGCTTTCGATTCCGAACTTTAGAAGCATTCTGCTTCAGCCTATTTCATCCGTGAACACTATCTCAAAGTTCATTATCACCATGACCGCGGTTCTCTCTGCCGCCATTGGCTCAGCTTGGGGTAGTGTCTGTTTCTTGAACAACAACTTGCCCCGAACAACACTGCCTAGCAAGCGGTTCTTCCTTAGTGGAGCACTGGGCGGTCTGCCTTTTTTGTTCCTGGGCAATCGCCGCGGCACATTCCTCTGGTTCTTCCGCACTGCTGTTGATTCAGCATACAAGACAGGGGTCAAGCGTGGAATATGGAAAGGCCGAAGAGGCGGTGAGCTCTTATTTATTGTTTTGTCCTGGGCGCTTATGGGGTCGATACTTGAGGTAAACCCCGAGGCCGTACGGGGTGGTGGACTGCGTAAAGCTCTGGCTTGGCTGAGGGGTGATGGATTTGGAGATCCAGTGGATATTGCGAAACGCAAACTGCGACGGGAATCGAAGAATCCCGATGGAAATGGATTACCCAATTAATAGCCTCTGTTTCTCATGTCCCAACATCATAATTGGAGTTGGTCGGTGTGGAAATCACTTTCCGACCCCACGTTTGCGGAGATGATCTTCGGAGACTGGCCTCCGCATTTAGTTCCCCGGCCTTTTAATGACTCCCAGCTTGATTTTCCAAATTCCCCCCTTCATACTCAATTTGATTTCGATTTGTTTTTCATCTTTTTGATAACCTTGAGCTTTCCATCTTAAGCACAATGACTGCTCAAAGATTGAAAATCGGCTGTGCTGGTCTAGGCCGTATGGGCAAGCGCCATGCCCTCAACTTCCTCGAGCGTACTCCCCGAGCCGAGCTTGTGGCTGCCAGCTCCCCTGACCCAGTCGAACTGGAATGGGCTAAGATTCACCTCGAACCCTATGGTGTAACCCTGTACCAGAACTACGATGATCTGCTCAAGCATGAAGGTCTAGTTGCTGTCGTTGTTGCATCGGCAACTGTAGTGCATGCCGAGCAAGCTATCAAGGCAATTGAAGCAGACAAGCACACTCTTTGCGAGAAGCCTCTTTCTACAAGTCCCGAAGTAGTAAGTTGGTTCCATTTGAATCCATCTCAACCCCCAATTCAACCCTAGTGTCCAAACAATGAAAATAAATACCCACAACCGACTTCTTACGCAGTCCCAATCCGTTGTCGACGCAGCAGCCAAGAAGCCACACCTGAAAGTGATGTGCGGCTTCTCCCGCCGCTTCGACAAGTCCTACCGCGACGCATACGAGAAACTGCAGTCAGGCGCAATCGGCACCGCATCCGTTCTCCGCAGTCAAACCTGCGATAAACTCGACCCGACCGGATTCTTCGTCGCATACGCAGAGTTCTCCGGCGGAATCTTCGTCGACTGCTCCATCCACGACATCGATCTCACACTCTGGTTCTTCGGCGACCAGTGCAAAGTGAAGTCTGTATCGGCGGTAGGCATCACAGCCGTCGAGCCCGATCTGCGTAAACATAATGACCGCGACAACGCCGTAGGCTTGGTTGAGTTCTACGACGGCCGCATTGCCTATTTCTATGCTTCCCGTATGATGGCTGCTGGTCAGGAGGATACTACCGAAATTATCGGCACCAAGGGAAAACTGGCGGTTAATACTCAGCCTGCGTTGAATCATGTTAATATCTTCGATGAGTCCGGCATCAGGAGGGAGGTTCCTCAGAACTACTATGATCGCTTTGAGTATGCGTTTGTTACTGAGGCGAATGAGTTCTCCGCTGCATGTCTGGATAACACGGCGCTGCCTATTGATCTTAAAAATGCTGTCAAGGCGGTTCGGATTGGTGCTGCATTGCAGGAGTCGTTGATTACCCAGAAGAAGATTTTCTTCGATGAGGATGGGAACCGGACTGAGTTCGCTCGTTTGTGAGCAACGTGTGTTGTGTCTTGGGGACCATCTACGTTCAATGTTGTTGTTCATACGCTTTCACAAATGAGACGATAAATACCTTTCAATATGGCAATGTTGTATTCTGGCTCAAAGTGGACCTATCTAACTCTATGGCTATGGCAACATCGGAAATCACGTATTTAATAACTTCATAATCTGCACGCCGGTGTGGGCTGTCCTTCGCACAGCAGCGTTGACTGGTATTAGTGACCTTTGATACATTTTGCGTTCTCTAAAGCTAACATGTTCACCTTCATTTGAAAAAAAGCAAATGGTGCATTGAATTGACCGGGCCACCGAGATATCGAGAAAGAGAGAAAGAGAAGTACCATTTCAGCCCTGGGGGTGAGGAGCAAAGCAAGTAAAGTTTCTGTCCACTATAGGCAGTGAGGCTGCTTCAACAACCTTCCAGCCTATGATAGAGTGTGTTGAATGGCTGATTGCTCTCATCTCTTTCAAGCTAATGTCCGGAATTTTTTTGCCCGGAATAATTTCAAAGTTGGAAAGGAAAGCATGATTTCTGACGCTAATTGAATGTGATGGTGTGTATCGTAGAAATTTCAAGGAACTGTAAAAGAAAGAGAAGGGGAATCATGAGAGAAACTGTGTAGAGTGAGATCGCACGGCAAGCAAGTCGTAAATATCTACCACTTCAGGACCTTGGTGGGGAAGTACTCGTCGATGAGCTCCAGGTAGTACGGCTAGAAAGAATCAAATCAGCTTGGAAATCACATACCATCGGCAGAAGCAAAACCTACCTTCAACTCCTCAACACTGGGAATTCCATCACTCTTGCTGTACAAGTCATAAGGATTGAAGGCCTGAACAGCACGTAGCATATCACGGTCATGGTCATCCATCAACTCGTGGTACGCACCGGCGCTGTGCCAGGGATAGAAAGAGTGGTAGCGGATCATAGCGAGCGCCTCATCGGGAAGCGTCGACTGCTCCTTAGCGAGGTGATAAAGGTACTCATCGTGGCCCCAGGAGAGCATGACCTTATCGAGACCGCAGCCGGGTGTGTAGATACCAAACTTAGTATCGTAGATCTTGTGGCCAAAGTCCTCGTTGTCACGGAACGAGTCACGGCCATATACAATTTTGTCATCGAAGCCACAGCCGACGGGGAAAGTGTCACCGACAACGTCCCATTGGCCCTCGGCATCAAAGAAAAAGAGGAGCTTACCCAGGTCATGGATCAGACCGGTCAGCTGCATCCAGCGGGGCTTGCCGTCGCGGCGAATGGCCTCGGCGGACTGGAGGAGGTGCTCAATCTGGGAAAGGCTGGTGTCGGGGTCGGACTCGTCGATCAGGGTGTTGAGTTTCTCCATGGCTTCCCAGACAGTCATCTCGGCGCGCGTCTTGCTGTGGAAGTCGTGGCGGGCCTTCAAATTGTATGCGACGGTCTGCTTGGTGTGTTGTTCCTTGTAGAAGTTCTTGACTCGGTCGCTGGCGTCTTCATACTGGCGGAAATTGGCCTTGTCTTTCTCCTTGTCGAACTCGGACTCTTCGTATAGACCCTTCTCTTTGACGTCTTTCTTTTCGGCCTCGCGCTTCTTCATGTCTTTGAGCACGTTGATTTCGTCAATCGCGTCAGAGAGTTCTTCGAGCGCATGGCCATCCCGCTTCTTGAAGACCGGGGAGGCCTGTGGGGAGATGGCGACTGGTGCCATTTTGGCTGTGTGAGAGAAGTGGTGCCCCTTGACTCTTATATAATATAAGATTGAGGATGAATATTTGCCAGATGTGATTGCGATTATCAAATCAGAAGGTCGGGAGTTGAAAGGGAGATAAACACTAAAACGTCCAATGTATATATAGGCTGGGAAAATCTAGCGTAGGGAATATCGCATGTAGATTTCCGATGTCAGCGAATGTGCGAGGGTTCTCCCCAGATCCATTTGCCTGATTTGCCATGACATCGATGCACATAACATGTGCGGGACGAAAATTTATAAAACATCACGGATTCTGGCTTCCGTGCCGATGAAGAGCTGGGATGCTCTTCAAAAAGGACGACGATGATTGGCAGCCAAAGCGACCCCACGACCGCAAGCCAACCATATGGAGTGGCTGTGGTGTTAAGTGGAGAGAGATTAGTCGAACTGGAAGATGGTTTCCGCAGCTCTGCTGATTGATCATCTGCATGTTGGTCTGGTAGTTTTGGTATAGGGATCCTTTTTTTTGGAGGTCGATAGAGATTTTTTTGAGATGAAGTTGGAAATTAATTGTATTCAAGAGATTAGAGAGCAACATCGTAGACGAAACGTGATTGATGGGAAAAAGCACGACATCAGACACGGAACAACTCCGATGACCGCGGGGTGTTGTCCTAACTACCCCCCGCCTTTCTTTTCTAAACATTTCAACTTGAATCTGTTGATGCTCCTTCTTAAATATTGTAAATAGTATTCTTTGTCTTTCGATACTCTATAAATTCACAATGGCTGCTTACGATACCCGTTTTAAGCTCAACACTGGAGCTGAGATTCCCGCACTCGGTCTGGGAACATGGCAATCCGAGCCTGGCGAGGTTGCGCGCGCGGTATTTCACGCCATCAAGGTGGGCTACCGTCATATTGACGGTGCTCTTTGCTACGGCAATGAGAACGAAGTCGGCCAGGGTATCAAGGAGGCCATTGATGCCGGAGTTGTCAAGCGCGAGGACCTCTTCGTGACCACTAAGCTGTGGTGCTCCTTCCACGCCCGCGTTGAGGAAGGCCTGCAGCAAAGTCTGACAAATCTCGGACTCGATTATGTCGATCTCTATCTGATGCACTGGCCTCTGGCAATGAACCCCAAGGGTGAGTTGAGTTTATACTATGTATATTCGAGCCACTGACAACTTCCACCTCAGGGAACCACAACATTTTCCCTAAGCTCGCTGATGGCTCAAGAGATATTATTCACAGCCACTCCCACGTCACTACCTGGAAGAGTATGGAGAAGCTTGTTGGCACTGGCAAGGTCAAGGCCATCGGTGTTTCCAACTACAGTGTTAAGTTCCTTGAGGAACTCTTGCCCCAGGCCACCATTGTCCCCGCCGCCAACCAGATCGAGAACCACCCCTTGCTTCCCCAGCAGGAGATTGTTGACTTCTGCAATAAGGCCGGCATCCACATCACCGCTTACAGCCCTCTGGGCAGCACTGGTAGTCCCCTGTTCACGGCTGAGCCCATCAAGGCTGTTGCCGAGAAGCGCGGAGTAACTCCGGCTACCGTTCTACTCAGCTGGCACAGTAAGTTTCCCTCAAGATTCCGCACCCTAGACCGGATACGGCGTGCTGACTGAGTGTTCACCTAGTCGCTCGCGGCTCTTCGGTCCTGGCCAAGTCCGTCACCCCTGCCCGCATCGAGGCCAACCGTGCCGACTTAATCCACTTGGATGCTGAGGATTTGGCTTCCCTTCGCCAGTACAGCGATAGCCTTCAGGCTGAGGGCAAGCTCCAGCGCTTTGTCTACCCTCCTTTCGGTGTTAACTTTGGCTTCCCTGACAAGCAGTAAGCATGCTTTGTACCAATGGACTTGGCCACATGCATAGAGGGTCGGTGCACTTGCGTTTTATGACGTAGATACCAAAATGGAAGATTTATGATTTCATGAATGACACTTTATACTTGAATTCTACCACGGCTATGCTTCTATCGCGTATGACATGGGACTTCCCTGCTCCGTGGATATAGCCATTCGTCTGCCCCTCAAACCGACCAACCCCACTCCATATTCAAACCACCTGCCATTACGTGGCTGAGTCTTAGTCTAACCATAGCTTTTTACTTAAATTAGCGATTGATTCCACTTCAAATCTGACATCCAACCTAGCCAAATCTAATTTTCCATCCCATTTGTCCACCCCCCTCCCCTCCCCGATTCAACTGTGAGCAATGCCGGAATTCTGATACGATGCCAGTCAGAATCTGACCAGATGCGAAAAATGGTTGAGGCCCCCTTACCTCAACTGCACTTCCCAGCAGCCCATCCGTCATACCACGCAGGTCCGATTTTAAGGCCAAGTCAAGCCAGCAGAGCGGCAGCGGCTGTCTACCCAGTGAAAAAAAACACTTGACGGCTTTGAGGTCACGTGTGATAACCAAGATGGTGCATCACTAGATCATTGGGGATCAATTCCAGGCAAGGCACAGAAAGAAATATATCAATATTAGAGTACACTCCACATAAATGTCATCAATTCCTCTCCTCAATTCTCTCATTTTAGACAAATTGACAGAGATACGTTATATCCTCTAGTATTTCTATCATGTGCACGGTATCCTCTTTCCGTACCTCTTGTAACAGATTTTGTCGCGAGTGAGGGGCCGCTAGAGATATGCCTTGCATGCAAACGAAAGTAGTCACCATGCGTGCCAAAGAAGGCTTGAGTTGTGGGTGCCATGGAGAATGAAAAGAAATAATCCCCGCGAGGCTTGAGTGTTGATGTTGCAACGTTTTAGTGCCTGTCAATGCGCGTAGATTTCTATCGTTTTAGGCTTGCACATTCTATAGAGACACGACTGTAGCGCCCAAGGTTGTCTAGTTGGTAGATCGCTAGAGGAATATGTCTATTTCTCACGCCTTCCTAGCCCACCGTGCGGGTTACAATCCCAGGGACTGCAAGTCGTTGCCAAAGTAAAAAACTAGGAATTACATCGAGTACTATTTGAGGTGTAACAAGGTTCAAGCCCAGGGCCAAGAATAATCCGCGGATTTTTTTTCCTACTGTGGAGTCGAACTCCGGCTATTATTGAAGTGCGCAATGAGTATCGCGTAGGAGGTGCCAGTAGACGAAGTCGGACGTCGACAGGGGACCATGGGCTACCGTTTGACGGGTCATGTGTCTGGCTATCCACCGAAGGGCTTCGGATCAGATAAAAAGCGCCACGGTACGCTAAAAGAACCCAGACTAGCAGGCCAATCTAATCAGATGATCAGAGAAATGATCAGTTTCCAAACATTTCGGAACGTTTCCAGGAAAAATGGAACCTGAGAAGCAACTGACTCCGCCTAGGCACGCAGTTATATCCACCCAGCAACGTGGATTATGCTTGGCCTGTTTTCCCAAAGGGAGAAATGTTCCAGGGAGATCACTCTAAGTACTATTGCCGTCCTATTCAAAACGGCGTGGATTGATATCTTCAGCCATGCGTGACCAGGGGTGTTTCTCGGATGCTACGCAAAAACGGTGAAGGCGCACCTGAAAAAAAAAGTATCAGATCTTTCGTCCCTGGTTCCACGTGCCAAGGTTAGAATGGATGGGTTTTAGTCATACGTGGATATTGTTTAGATAATACCGGGCTTTGTAAAGTATCAAAGGGGCAAGTCGTAAATAGGCATTAATGTATGTGTGTGTTGCTCAAGTTCCATAGCATTTGCTTTAAGCACAAGGAGACAGTGTTTGTTTTATTCATACTTGGATACACATTTTGCTTCCATAAATTACTAGCGGTATGTATCTGTAACTTATCAAAAGTACCAAATGACCTTGTTACACACAATACAGCTATTCTTCCGGTAAACAAAAACAAAGGCTAAGCGAGCTGCAGGTCGCTGAAAACTCGGCGTGGGCTCCTGCAATTCTTGGCGTACAATGTCGTGAGTGGGACAAAAATCCATTGCTTCCGGAAGGTGGATACTTGGCATATGATAATCAAGCTAGCTGTCCAACCATGCACCCTTGCACTGCTAACATGATTGATGTGTCTTGGAAGTTGTTGTCGAGAAGGCTCTAAGGATTACAATAATAGAAACAGTGGTTCGGATATTCATAAAATTCTGCATTCAGATCGTCATGTGAATAGTATTAAATAAGTTACAAAAAGCAAAGCCGGTCAATAACTGCACTGGGGTAGCTTGTCATATTTTGGATACAAAAGGAAATGTATCATTCTCAGTGTCGTTGGAAATTATCTCTAAAGGCAAAAGCAAACACCTCAGAAGACGGTACCTTTGACCTGAGCAACCTTCTTCAGGTCGATGTCTCGGATCATGAGGGACCAGAAGATGCACAGACCCATGATACCGGTACCAACAGCGAGCATTCTTGTCTGAGAATAGGCACAAGCTTCCTGAATAGCCAGTCTCGCGGCGGATCCAATGGGATAAGAGGTCTGCTGGGCAAGATCTTCGTAAATTGAATCAAGGTCTCTCATTGCAGATTCTGGAAGCCTCGTCTCAAGGGCTTTGTAGAATGTGTTGGTCCAGATTGCAGCGCAAATGGTAGAACCGGCAGCGTTGCCGACAGTACCCATGACGTTCAGCAGAGCAAGGACAGTTGCGACATGTTGATGGTCGGCGGCAGCCAATATAGCAAGCTGCTCAACAATGATGAAGACAGATCCACCAATGGAGATGAAAATCTGGCACATGACAAGATAACCAATAGATTGGTTGGGGCGGCGGAAGTGAATCATCAATCCCTGAGCAAATATGTACAGTGGGACTGCACTGCAATGTAAAGAGTCCATTTGAAGCGACCAGTCCTGCGAAACCAACTCCGAGCAAAAGGAATCCGGAGACCACGTCGAAAGTGTTGCTGACGTAACCGGCCTCGGAAATGCTGAGGTCGTTGACTACTTGCAAAAAGGAGGTATAGTAGTTGTTCCAGCAGTAGTAAGAGAGCTGGTATGTCGCGTCGAGCAAGCATGCACCAATGATTGTTCGATCATTTAACAGGCTGAAGTTGAACATTGGCGTCGGAGCAAAGCGGAGCTCCCAAACAAGGAAGACGCCAAGCATAAAAAATCCGAGCACGATCATAGCAATGATGTAACCTGATGCCCAGCCGTCAGGAGCGCAAGTAGAAATGCTGAATGGAAGGAGGAAGATTTTCAGGCCGATAGAGAACACAATAACACCAAACACTATGCAAGTTAGTATTTTGCAAGGATCATTTCGAAAACGTTATAACTCACAATCGAACTCCTTGGTATAGTGCCAAACACTTTGGAGGAAAGTCCGGCCGCTAGGCTCCTTGACTATAAGACCGTTATGCTTGGCCTTCTTAAGGTTGCTCTTCAAGATGAAGTAAAGAGGGGAGGCAACAATGGGGAAGATGATGGAGAATGCACCAAAGGCCCATCGCCAGCTAATGTCTTCGTAGAAGCCCTCTGCAGCCTTCGGGCCAGCGAAGGGCTTAGGTGCATCGCATTGACGAAGTACAAAAACCAGATGCTATTGGAGATTTGTATTGGCGAAAAACCTGGTTTTCATGGGTCAATCTCCCATCGAGGTGAAACGAAAAGAGCTTACTTTGCAAATACCGCAATCAGCATGGTCCTCGTCCAGCTCAAAGTCACAGCCTCGACATTCTTGACACCCTGCTGTAAATCCTCAGTGAGAACTTCTGGGTTTTCCTTGTTGGGAATAGCAACGGTCTCATTGGAAATTTGGCTCTTTTGTTCGCCATTGGCGACAGCATGGACGTGAGTAATAGACTCTTGTGTCGATGATCGTCGGAAGGCAGATCTGAGCCTGGATACACCCATTTCGTTGATCTGGAGATCTGGAAATATAGACAGTCGGTTGGACGGACTCGTAAAAGACACAAAGCTCAAGGGAGATCATTGCCCTTATAGCAAATATAATCTCCTGCTACCAGTGCTCCAGATCTAGCGCTCTAAAAAAACACTGAACTCGGTAGTTTGATACAATCATGGAAGACTAATGTACGACACGCCATAAGAAATGAATCAGTTGGAAATGTCTTGGCATTCTCTTAGTATTCATTTGCAAGACACTCCAGCATGTATTCGATCATGTTTTTCTTCTCTCTGGGGCCTCTTAGCGCAGGCCCTGTGTGGTTAGCTCACTCAGAGTTTTGACCGGAATGGGACGCCCCTAAAATCTAGTCAGTTTGTATGGATGACGGGTTTCGCATACGAGATTGATGCCGCGAAGGCAATGTTGACCGAGGATAGGACCGCCTGAAGCTCAAAACAGCCCAGCCTGTAGAGGCTTCCCGTTCAGGGAAAAAACATGTGAGACGATCTTGGCATGCTTGGCATTTGAATTGTTCCGCCGCGACATGAGCCGGAAAAAAGATAAGAAAAACATCTCTATTTTAATGAATTAGATTGGCTCAATGTGACTGGTCGTCGGGGGCCCTAAAAGCTGCGAAACGCACGAGCCCGTTGTACTCTGACTACTGGTCTGTAACATATTTGGTATAATACGGATTTCGACGAAACATGTATAATAAGATTTCTAAGATTGCTTGGAATAATTATCAGTAAATTAGTGGTAATCTTTACAAGGTATGAACATACATATCTTCGGTTATTCCCTGCATATTGAAGTGCCTATGTAGATGCACAAAATGCTTACCAAATCGAATGCATTGTGTCTACCCAAGAAATATTAATTACGTCGCGTTACAGTTAATCAGATAAGTACAGGGCCCCACTTTTAACCATGGCACCGCCATCTAAGAGTGGAAACTAGATGCGCCACCGAATCTTGTTGTGGAATACTACGTGTTGTGAGTGGATTTTTTTTCTCACAATTTCGAATTCTTCCAGCTTGGTGACCGCTTCTCCACAAACGCCTGGATGCCTTCGGCAAAGTTCGGACCCCCAACCAACCGAGGATACCACTGATCCGCCAGATCTGATACAGTTTCCTCCACACTGCCAGCTTCCCAGCTCATCCGAACACCCAGACGGCCAACAATAAGGGAATCGGGGCTGTTTTTGCACATGACCTCGGCAACTTCGACTGCTGCTCGGACAACATCGGCCGGTGAATCCACCACTTGACTAATGAGACCCCATTCATGTAGTGTGGTGGCGCTCACGTTCCTGCCAGTAAGCACGAGATCCATGGTGCGTTGCAGCCCAATTGTGCGGGTCAATCGCGGTAAACATCCAGCAACTGGCACAATCCCTCGCTTCACTTCCGGAAGGGAGAAAATGGCTGAGGACGATGCTAAGATAAGATCGCAATTTGCCACCATCTCGAAGCCTCCACCCATACAAATGCCGTTTACAGCGGCTATGATCGGTTTCTTGCCGGTCCGACGAGGCAATCCCGCTAGGCCCGGTGCGGACATGTCATTGACAACACCATTTTTGTTCATAGAGTTCCATTCTGCTCAAATAAGAGTCAATCTTTGTTTTTGACCTTTTGGGTAAAAGGATAGAAGAAACTCACCTCCTAGATCAGCCCCTGTACAGAAGGCTCGGCCGACACCGGTGATTATAGCAACCCACAAGTTTTCATCTTCATCAAACAGCTCCCAGATCTTGGCAATATCTCGACTTGTAGTTTTGTCGATGCAATTTAGCTTTTCCGGTCTATTGATTGTGACCTGAACAACTTGCTCATGCGGGAAAGAGATATAAAAATTCTCATGATGTAAGGGTCCTGACCGTAAAGACATGATGAACTGTGAAGCAGAATATGCACAGTATTGTAACTAATTCACTTAAAGGCTTCGACATTATATTTTATCTTGGGCCTGGCCACGGATTATGTACTGTTATTCATAGGGTAAGTTTGCGCGCAGAAAGCTTCCGCGGAACCTCGGAATTTGACTGAGAACGATGTCGGTATTATTGTCCATACAACATACAGCATTGTACACACAACGTTGTAAATGTTTGTATTAAAAAACCGACCCATAGGACGAACTCAGAAACAAAAATTTCACTTTAGGACATATTGCAAACGAGAAACGATCCGACCTCGGTTCCTCTGTCCTTGATAGATCTTCCTTAGCCTTTTGAGAATCTCATCAACTTATAATCTGATTGCGCAGGGCGGGGAGCTGACTTTTTTTTCCTTGCCCTGAAACTCCAGTTGCTTCAAGATTCTTGATCTTACCTTGATGTTCGAGATAACTATGACAAATGGCTTCAAAATCACACCATTATCCTTTGGTCAAGCTACCACACCCTTATCTGACCGCATATCGTGTGAATACCGCCGCTGGATCGACGCCGGCGAAGCGCAACTTGACACTCGATGGGCAGCCCGCAAAGAGCCGGCCTTTGCCTGAACAGCTACACTCAGATTCGCTTTCTTGGCATGACTTGACTTCCATTCCCAAAGCCGAGCAGCCACCTATCTCAGATAACTCTCCCTGGGGTCGCGCGCGTCGCAGTCCCCAGACTGTCTTCCAATGGTCAGGGAATAGCGCTCCTTCTTTGGGCCAAATTTGGAACGTGATTCATGCCATTTACCTTGGCCACCCAACAATTGAGTATTTCAGACTAACTCTGTCCGGCGCAGGGCAGGAAATCATTCACAATGAGCTTCTTACCACCGGATTGGCAATCAACCACCCGAGGAATCTGCGGGATAGAGAAAATACGGCTCTGCAATTCGATGAGTTGCTGATCCTCCGAAGTGCCTTCTGGCAAGGTGCTGCTTCTCCACTGGGCCCTCGTCCCATCTGGGTGGTGGGAGATGGCACAGATGGCTCCATGCGGAAGCCATTGTCTCAGTATTCCATCATGCCGGAGAACTACCAAATGACAAACAAGTTCCCCGAGGAGCTGATTTATACCCGCCACCCGACTCGCCGCCCCAAGCCATCTCCCGGATCCATTGCCTACAGTCGCTACATCCCAGAGATCAACGAGCATTTCTCACTTGAAGTCGTCGACTGGGAAAGTGCGGAGCATGTCCAAATTTTTAACAAATGGCAAAATGATCCACGTGTTGCCGCTGGCTGGAATGAGACTGGTACTATCGAACAACACACCGAATATCTGCGAAAATTGCACTTCGATCCCCACGTGCTGTGCTTGTTCGGACGCTTTGATGATACCCGCTTTTCGTACTATGAGTTATACTGGTCAAAGGTAAAATGCCCAACTCATTTGTTCTCTAGCCTGACATTGACGCTAACACGTTGTCTAAAGGAGGATCACTACGGCGCTCACTATGATGCTGGAGATTATGATCGTGGCCGTCACTCTCTCGTCGGCGATGCCAGCTTCCGAGGTGCACACCGTGTAAATGCCTGGTACTCGAGCTGCATCCACTATGTCTTCTTGGATGATCCCCGGACCGCTAATGCCGTCGGCGAGCCCAAGGCCACCGGAGCGACTATCTTGTCTTACGAGAACGCGCAGGGACTCACAATTGGCAAATACGTCGATCTCGGACATAAGAGATCGGTGCACTCGATTTGCAGTCGTGAAAAGTGGTTCCAATTGTGTCCTCTATTCTGGGATGGGCGCGAGCGACCTTTAGAATCTGCTGATCGGGCCGCGTGGAATGCCAAACTGTAAAATTTTGTGCTGACTTTTTCTTGACTCTGATCGGCAAAACTCAAGATGCACTGTACAAAATTTCATGACATGGTCTTTTTTCATTTGCCATCATTATTCACAGACAGGTGGGGGTAGCTCAAGTTACTCCATTATCCAGCTTCCTTGTTGGGGCAGTTTCTCCAAGCAACGCGATGTTAGCTCCGCTTTGTTCCAATCAATCAGATAATCTTTCAGGTTTTTTTTCTAAAAAGGAATTTGCATTGCACTATGAGATCCACTTGGCCTCGTCGTTTTTACAATGATAATATTGTGTGCACTGCATTTATTCTTTGGAATATTCATGTCGAACATTTAACATGCCAGACATTAACTAACATAGATAGCGTTGCCAAAGACCAAAACAAAACAACATAGTGAATCAATAGGACTCACCTGCTACTATGTACTCTGTACATGGCTCCGAGAGATTTTGGAGACAACTCATTGACGTATCATCTTGTCTCACATATCCACCATAATTTCCGCCTGAAGAAACTTTGGAAGTACCTTGCGAATTTGAAATACACAACGTAATTTTCACGGATGTAAAATACAGTCCCTTGGAAATAACTCGCTCAATACAGCTAGCTGTATTTACCAAGTGATACACGCAAAGACGGTGGCAGGGAACCACGGTACACAGGCTGCATTTTGATCTGATAACCCCGTCTGTATAATTGAAATTCTTCATATCCCCTAGTGGGCTGCATCTTCGGATCCAAATGTCAAAACCGATGTCGGCTGATTGAAAAATTAGATCGGCATGTCAAACATCCGGAAGTCCCCTGCAAATCTCCATCTTCACACTTGGCAAACATCTTTCTTTGGGTATTCGTCGTTACCCAAGCTAAAGTCGCTTCGTTGAATGGATTGCCGCTAAGGAGTGGGTGCAATTTTCATGGTGACGCCACTTTCAAACTAGTAAAGCGATAAATTGAGCGTTTGGGGAACTTGGCTTCTTCAACATTCAGAAACGACTATTCCAGTGTTGCAGGCCATTTTCGCGTCACCATGGGTTTCCGGAACCTTGCAGACTACCCAAGGCTGCTTGTGGCTGCCAATCCCTCACGTCTCGAATTGGGAACTCTCTTTGTTGGCCTGGCGTCTTCAATTGCATCGGGTGTTCCCTTTCCCATTATTGGTATCATATTTGGCCAACTTATCGATGATTTCAACTCAGTGACCTGCGCGGAAACTGCTGGCTCTTCAGGAGGTGACTCTAGCGAACAGTCGGACATCAACAGCAAAATTCTGTTGATCGTGTACTTGGGGATTGCTCAATTTGTTTTAATCTACATTCACCTCCTATGCTGGACGATGACCGGTGCGCGCCTGGCGCAACGACTCCGCGAAAGATACCTCCAGAACCTGCTCCGACAAGAACCCTCTTTCTTTGATAAATTGCCCGCCGGAGAAGTTGCCTCTCGACTTAACACCGATATCCAAACAATACGCTCCGGTACAGCTGAGAAGGTCGGGATCTGTATCTCGAGTTTCTCCTTTTTCGTCACCGCATACGTTGTTGCATTTATCAAAGACTCTATTCTTGCTGCAATGTTGATTTCATTGATCCCCGCATATTTCATCATGTCATTTGTTGGAAGTTATTACATTGAGAAATACACTGGGCGGATGTCGGATTATGCTGCTTCCGCTGCCTCGATTGCTTCCGAAGCGCTCAATAACATTATTGTGGTGCATGCCTTTGGTGCAAATCGTCGTCTGGAGGAGAAGTTCTCTAGGGCGCTAGAGGACTCGGAAACCGAAGGACTGAAAAAGGCCACTGCCACTGGTATTCAAGCCGGTGTCTTGTATTTCGTTGCTTATGGTGCGAACGGCCTTGCATTCTGGCAAGGTAGTAAGCAGATTGCTACAGCAGTGCGTAATAACTCGTCAGGTGCCACTGTTGGATCTGTTTTTACTGTCATCTTTGTCTTGGTTGAAGGTCAGTTTGACTCGTATCTTGCTCTGGAATCTTGCACTAACATCACCGACAGCTACCCTGCTTCTAAGTCAGGTTGCACCTTTCATCCACTTATTTACACAGGCTGTTGCTTGTTACCACAAGCTTCGTGACGATATAGAGCGTGTATCCTTAATTGATGGATACTCTGATGCGGGCGTTCGCCTTACGCAGGCGGATGGGGGATTTGAATTCAAGGACGTCTCCTTCATCTACCCCTCCAGGCCCGAGATCACCGTGCTTAACAAGATCAATCTCTCTATTGCTCCCAAGAAGCACACAGCCATTGTTGGCCTTTCTGGAAGTGGAAAGTCCACTATCGCAGGCTTGGTTATCCGATTGTATGATGCCACTGAAGGCGAGATCACTTTCGATGGCCAGAATATCCGCGACGTCAACACCCGTGACCTAAGAGGGTTCCTCAGTCTTGTGCAGCAGGAACCCTCCCTTCTTGATAGATCTCTTTTGGAGAACATCGCGCACGGCTTGGTGAACTCAAGCAAACCGGCCCATGCCCACCTGAAGACGGCACTCCTCGGAACCGATCTCTCTGATCTGGCCAATGAAGTCAGAGATGGTCAGGATCTTATGACCGCAGCAGGGAGACGGGGCCCAGAAGTTGTTGAGATCGTTCAATTGGCCCGGAAGGCTGCTGCGCTTGCCGATGCGGATGGCTTTATCGAAGCATTGCAGTATGGGTATGCCACAATGGTTGGTTCTAGTGGTCGACTTATCAGTGGTGGTCAAAAGCAACGAGTCTCTCTTGCCCGTGCTCTTGTCAAGGATCCCGCGGTTCTCATTTTAGACGAAGCCACCGCTGCTCTGGATTCCCGCAGCGAGCAGCGTATCCAACGGGCTATTAACAATATTTCAACAGGTCGAACTGTCATCACTATCGCTCACCGTTTGTCAACAATCACAAACGCTGATAAGATTGTCTGTATGCACAAGGGCGATATCTTAGAGGAGGGTACTCATTCGGAGTTGATGGCTGGGAATGGTCCTTACTCGGAGCTGGTCAAATTGCAGACTCTCGGGGCCGCATCCGCATCCGCATCCAGCAAGACTGATACCACTGCCAGCATTGAGAGTATGAGCAAGTCTGATGCTACCTCTATCACCGACTTCGAACACGAGAAGGGAAATCCTTCAAATGACCTTCAGCCAAAAAAGGAAACCCGTGTCGCAGCTACTGAAGCACCAGCCGGTGACTCTGAGGAAGAAGAAGAAGAGGAGGAGGAGCTAGAAACGCCAATCAAATCCGTATGGGCCCTTTGCAAAGGTTATGCACCAGCTCTCAAGCCCCATTTGCTCGTAATTTTTGCTGCTCTTTTCGGTTCCAGCATGGTTGGCGGAGCCTTCTCTGGTGAAGCCGTTATTTTCGGAAACACAGTCGGAAGTTTGAATCCTTGTTTCAGTGCAGACCATATCAGCGAACGGGGTAATTTCTACGGCCTGATGTTCTTCGTTCTTGCAATCATTGAGTTCTTTGCAAATATCGTTAGCTGGGGAGGATTTGGCCTCGTCTCTGAGAAGATCGTCTACAAAGTGCGAGTTTTGTCATTCCGGTCACTGTTCGAACAGGATCTCCAGTGGCATCAGTCTAAAGGCCGATCCCCTGCCCTGCTTCTGTCCTATATCACAAGAGACGGTAATGCCCTTGCTGGTATGAGCGGATCTGTTATCGGGACCCTGTTTTCCATCACCGTTAACCTCATCGCCGCCATTATTTTGACTCACATTATTGCCTGGAGAATTGCCTTGGTCTGCCTGGCCCTTGTTCCCCTTTTGCTTGGAGCTGGTCTCATGGAGCTGATGGTTCTTGGCAAATTCGAGGATCGTCATGAAAACGCCTACACAAAGTCTGTCGACATTGGCGTAGAAGCAGTTACCTCTATCAAGACAATCGCCTCTCTTTCCCTTGAGGAAAACACTCTCAAGACCTATCGACGATCCCTGAAAGGACCTCGTAAGGAGACATTCATGGTTACTGTGCAGGCAAGTTTGTGGCAAGCCATGACCTACTTCTTGGGTAATATGGTGAATGCTCTCGCATACTGGTGGGGTTCCAAGCAAATCATCAACGGAAACTACTCTCAAACCCAGTTCCTGATTGTTGTCTTCTCTCTCCTGGTCAGTGCCCTGCTTTGGAGCCAGATGTTCGCACTCGCACCCGAGCTTTCTGCCGCACGATCGGCAATGTCCAGAATCCTTGGCCTGATCGAGATCGGCAAGGACAAGATGAATTCTCGGCTCAAACCATATAACAACAACGATGTCGAGGCAACTGAAGAGAAACCTACCTACAACTCAGGAAGGTCGGCTTCGAGTGTGCAGCTCCGCGATGTCCACTTCTGTTACCCCGCCCGGCCGGACATGAAGGTGCTGAAGGGTTTGAATGTTGATATTCGCCCCGGCAAGTTTTGTGCCCTGGTTGGACCCAGTGGTGCCGGTAAATCGACCATCATATCTTTGGTCGAACGCCTGTACACGCCCGAATCTGGTTCAATTGTGATCGACGGCGTCGACGTGACCAAAACCTCAGACGTCTCCTTCCGTGACTGGATTTCCCTGGTTCCCCAAGATAGTGTCCTCTTCGAGGGAAGCATCGAGTTCAATGTTGGTCTCGGTGCCCGGCCTGGCCACAATGTGACTCTGGAAGAAATTCAAGAGGCTTGCAAGCTCGCCAACATCCACGATGTCATCACTTCGTTGCCGGATGGCTATCAGACCCTCTGTGGACCAAGTGGTAACCAGTTCTCTGGAGGCCAGAAGCAGAGATTGTCTATTGCTCGGGCTCTTGTTCGAAAACCTAAGCTTCTGATTCTTGATGAATCGACTAGTGCCCTAGATGCTGAGTCTGAGAAGCTCTTGCAGGATGGTCTGGAAAAGGCCGCACGAGGAATCACTGTCATTGCTATTGCTCACCGTCTTCACACTATCCGGAAGGCCGATGTCATTTTCTTGATTGATGGTGGTGTATGCACTGATTCTGGATCCCATGATGAATTGCTTGAGCGGTCCGACAGCTACCGGGCAAATGTCATGCACCAAACTGTGGCGACTTGAAAAGATTATAGATCCGGTTTAAATTTTCAGTACTTGTTTAATAGATGTCCTAATTTTTTACGATTTACCAGTATTCAAAAATGATTTGTTGCTAGCAGAAATGGCTGGTATCTTTTCGCATTCAAATGAAAAGCATTAAAGACAAGAGATGAAGTCCTTAATCCAAGAGTTGAGTATCTCGAAGTCCTTTGGATCTGTAAAATAGACACACTTTGAAATGTGACAAAAGCAATACAATTGAAATCCAAACCATCTCCAGTCTATCTGCTTTGTTTTTTTAAAAAAAGGTTACTTATCAAATGCAGGTCCCAAGCACCAGGGGATCCGGGCGACAATCCGACAGCTCTTGAACAGCAGCAGCCAACTCATTAAGAGTAGCATCCACAAATGCCGTGTCCCTTTCACTTCCAACAAATCCAACGTGCATCTTCCCACCACGCACAAACGAGACAGCCTTCAAGGGATAAGCAGCATCGCCATGTGGGGTTGAGATATCAACTTTGCAAGAAGATCCAGCGAATGGCAAATCGTCGAAGTCATCCCAGTCCTGGTGATGAACAATCGAGTCAAAGGATCGTGCCTCCGGTGACCACTGCGCGCACTGCTTCGAGATCTTCTCAAATCCGAGGAAATCGTGGGCCGCAGACTCGGCACTCTGCTTCTGCACAAACCGCAACAAGTCCATCGCCGTCCACTGTGACTCAAACTTCACTCTGACAGGGGTGAGTTGGTAGCATGGACCCATGACGTTCTCCACGTTTGCTAGGTTGATAGTTCGGCCCGAGGTCACCGTGCCGAATGTCACATCGTAATTTTCTAGACGACGGGCGAGTACCAGTGCCCATGCTGCGGTGAGCACGTTGGCTGTAGTAATCTCCTGGATGGGCTGGAATTTTTCGACTGTCTTCTCGTGGAAAATAGCTTTGTCTGTAGGCTGTACCGAGGATCCATCGATGACAGACAGTGTTGAGCCCTTGAGCAGATCGCCCCAGTAGTTGACTGCCTGGGTTTGCAGACGTCTGTCGGAAATTCGTGCCATGTACGAGGTGAATGGCTCACAGTCCACAACCTTGCCTCCGGCGTAAAGAGTCTCCAGGTCTTTGAGCAATCTGGGGAGGGACACGCCATCATATAGGGCATGAGAAAGACCTAGTACGAGGCAGTGCTTTCCGTCGGCGCCTTGAACGTGGAAGAACTTAAGGAACGGCGATCCAAGCTCAAAGTTTGACTCTATATCTGCTGTACAGAGCTCGGTGACAAATCTCTCAATCTCCTTATCAGCTTGCTGCATGACCACAGGAATGTGTGCCTCTTGGAGGACAACTTGAAGGAAGGACGATTCATGCTCGATGAAGACAGTGCGCAGAATATCGTGAGTCTTGACCAGATCATTGCAGGCGGTTAGTAGTTGCTTTTGATCAATGCATCGGTCGAAGTAAAGCATGTTGTATTGGATGGAAGTGCGTGGCACCCCAATGGTTCCTCTGATGTCGAGCGCTTGGGTATCTGTGATTGGAGACACGTCCAGGATGGGCCAGCCTGGGTTGGAAAGTTTGGGCCGAACAGTGGAGGCCAAGAACATCTTGATATCTAGATTGCTTAGCGCAGAGAAGGACTTGTATGGCTGGGCGAATTCCTTTGCTTGGTCCACCTTCAGCACCTTGGCTGCATCACCAAGACGCATGTGCTGGAAGATATCGGCTACAGATAAACTGTGTCCCTGTGTGCGCAGACTAGACACCAATTTCATTGCCAAGACAGAGTCACCTCCAAGGCGGAAGAAGTTGTCATCGACGTCAATCTGCTCCGGGCTCAGACAGAGGATCTGAGCCCAAGCAGATTGTAGGATCTTCTCTGCCGGTGAGAGGTTTGCCTGTGCCAAGCCCTTCGTCCATGCCTCTTTGAAGCCTTCCCGCAGCTGTTCGAGGACACCTTGAGGGATCTTTGAAGCCAATTGGTTGAGGGCCGTGTGGTCAAGTTGCTCCAAACCAGCAGGCAACTTCTCAACTACAACGTAGGCAGAGGGGGCCATGTAGGATGGCAATGAGTCTCGGATAAATTTGTCGAGCTTCTTCAATGACAGAGCAAGTGTTACGGAAATAGTGTTGCAGACAGTCGTCTCGTCGCCGATCATCTCGTATTTCGCCGGCATGACTCTCACGCTGGCTTCACCAGAAGGATGGTTCTCGATGAAGACAGCCAGCTCTTGCTCTGTCACTTCTTGGGCGCCTTCTCTTAGAGGCCGGAACACAGATGCAGCGCCACGGGTTCCTGATGGGAGGTGTTTTTCAAAATGAGACTCGAGCTCTGCAATATCCACTCCATGTCCTTGAAGAGGTACGACATTCTCCTTGCGGCCAACAAATATCAGACTTCCATCATCCTGAAGCTGGACCAAATCACCTGTAGGCTGCACCTTTCCTGATCGGCCAACATATCCAGAGCTTCCGGCCACGAGCCAGGCAGGGGACTCGAATATTTCTCCAGAGAGGAAATGTCCCTCAAGCCAGAGCTCGCCAACACTACCGATGGGGGACAGCAAATTTGGGTTGTGAGAATCACACACCCAAGGAACCAGAGTCCGAGGATAGACTGATCCTGGTTTGGTGCTCGCATGGGCGCGAAGGTTGCCAGACATCTCATCCACGAAAAGAGAAGGAGTTTGGTTCCATTGCCAAATTTGGTTCACTTCTGTCTCAGGAAGGCAAGATATCTCACCAATGCGCTTGTCAAGACCCTTGGACAACTGCACGCAAGCGGTTTCCAACTGCGCAAGGATCCGCTGCATCTGCGAACACTCGATAATGCTGCTGTCGAAACTGGCACAAACTCTGAGACCACCTTTGCGGATTCCAAAGCCCACCATGAGCGGGTAAGGATTGAAATGAAGCGCTTCATGGACAACGTCTCCAAATGTAAATCCAAGCTCGCTACCCACGTATTCCGGGTCGAGCTGAATGACCAGTCCGGTGCCGGCTTCGCATGCATACTGCGCATCTTGGCTGACCTTTCTGATGTTCTGCATGCCCATGTGTTGGTAGGGTGTACGTGCCAAGACTGTTTGCTGTATTGTCTGCAAGTACGATTCGACTGAGCTTGACCGGCGGACCTGGACGCGGATGGGGATAGTTGCGATCAGTGGTCCGACAATACTCTCCACTCCCGGGAGTGGAATATCACGACCAGTGAGTGTCTCACCAAACACGATATCGTCGCTTCCAGTGTATTGGGATGCAACGAGGGCCCATGCACCGCGGACCAATGTGGCTATCGTGAAAGGTGATCCAGCACCCATCTCGAGAGCAATCTGGTGCTCGATCAGGCCATCAGGAGTTGGCATGAAGTCGCGAGAGGGTAGGCGGGGGAACTGAGGCCCGACAGCACCCTTCAACTCTCGTCGCCAGAAGTCTTGCATGGCTGTCTCGTCTGTATCGCGTACGTACTTGACAAAGTTCCGCATCTGGGTCTGGATCTCGACAGACTGGTTCTGCAGGGCATCACTAACTTGCTTGAGAACGATTGGCTCTGACCATCCGTCGTAGAGAACGTGGTGGACAGTCCAGATCATATACCGCTTGTCGTCGTTTGCGTTGCTGACAAGACCGTATCGAGCCAGACTTTGCCCAAGGTTCATCCTCTCGCATCGGTCATTCTCGAGATATTGATCTAAATCTGTGGAGTACCTCCAGGAGATTCCTTCTTTCACAACAATTTGCTGAAGGCCTGGGTCTTGGAGTGGTGCCAGACGAGATCGCAGAATAGGGCTTGCTGAAACGACAGTTTCCCAAGCCTTTTTCCAAGCATCCAGGCTGATAAGCGACGGAATGCACGCTACTCTCTGAGCAGTGTATGCCTCTGCCGATTTGAGTGAGAATGTGAACAACGACTCTTGTGTGGGTGTGCAAAGGTAGATATCTTGCACATCTGCTTGATCCACCCCACACGCTTGTGCTGCTTCGAGGCGGGCGCTCTCGACAGATTGAGATATCAAAGAATATGCCGGAATCTCTTTATGTACTTGAGAGGTGCAAGGCTGAACGACAGTGGCCATGGCCGAGAGGGTAGGGTTTCCAAAAGTGCTGATAACAGAAAGATCGAGATCTTGCGCCCTGCAGACAGACACAAGTCTCATAGCTGCCAAGGAGTCGCCACCCAATGCAAAGAAGTTGTCATCGGGCCGAATGGCTTCTACTTCGAGTTTGAGTGTCCCAGCCCAAGCCTGTCGCAAGCGCTTTTCAAGCTCATTCAATTCCCGGGAAGCGGTGCTTGCGGCTCCTTGGTCGAGCTGGCGCAAATCAACGGTCGCACCGAATGCTCGGAGTTGTTTGCGATCAGTCTTGCCTGAAATCAACACTGGCATAAGATTGACTGGAATATAAGTTGTCGGCACCATGTATCGCGGCAAAGTTTTTGCCACCTCCGCATTGGCCTTGGTCAATATGCTGCTCAACTCGCTTGAGATCTCATCTAAGGCAAGCCCGGCCTGTCCATGTCCCTTTGGTTGGAATGCAACGAATGCGACGAGCATTGGCTGGCCTCCATGATCCTTGGGTGTAATCACCTCAGCAATGACATTAGCTTCCGAGGGCAGAACAGCCTTCAGCTGACTCTCGATTTCGCCCAATTCAACACGCTGTCCGCGCAACTTGACTTGAGTATCCTTTCGTCCAACAAAAACGATGCCCCCAAGACCGTCGGGGTCATATCTTCCAAGATCTCCAGTCTTGTACAGACGGCCGCGACGACCAGCATGCTCTTTGTAGCCCGCGACCAACCAAGGTGGATCTGTAATGAAAGCAGCAGCAGTCTTCTCGGGGTCATTCAGGTAGCCCTGTCCGACTATCGGGCCCTCAACGAGCAGCTCGCCTACAGTACCGACTGGCACAAGCTCGTTGTGGTCGTTTGGATTGGCAATCCACATGGCTGCGCCGTTGCCTGGGCCAATGGAGAGGTAATCTCTGCCAGTAGCAGCGCTGGAGTTGACTGTACACCCAATAGTGCATTCACAGGGACCGTAGCCAATGATGATTCTAGTTTCTTTGCCCCAATGATTAGCGTCTCTTGCCGAGACTGCTTCCCCTCCCAGACCGAGACCGCTGAGCGATGCGATGACATCCGCATCAAGAATTCGGCCCACTGAGGGTGTCAGACCTGCGTAGTTAATTCGCATTTTGCGGATAACTTCGTTGATATCATTCAGCCGATCCTCATCAGATGGAATACAAAGACAGCCACCGTTTCCGAGTGTTAAAAGCATACTGTCAATGCTTACATCGAAAGCGTAGGATGCGAAATCAAGAACCCTGGACTCTGGCGTGTATCCGACTGCCTTTGCTCGAGGAATAGCACTGCTCGTGTACGTTTCATGGGAAATCTTCACTCCCTTCGGAGTTCCCGTGCTGCCAGAGGTGAAGATTATGTACATAAGGGCGGAGGATGGTACGGCGGGTAACTTGGAGATTGACGGTGAGTTTGCTGAGTCTGTGAAAGCCTCTTCTTCAACGACAAAGTGGTTTCCAGTTGGCATGATCTTTAGTGATAGCTCATACTGCTTGCGGGAGGCAACCATCGACTTTGCGCCGACCTGCACCGCCATGTTTTGAAGACGGGCAAGCGGAAGAGTTGGATCCATCAGCGCAAGGGTTGCACCTGCTTTCATCACTCCGAGCACAGCGATGATCGTCCACCTGGACTTCTCAAAGCACACGGGGAGGACATCGTACAGCTCAACGCCCAATTCTTTGAGCGAGCATGCCACAGAGGTGGACCACTGATCAATTTGGCTATAGGTCAAGCTACCATCCCAAGAATCAATGGCAATTTTATCTGGGTATTCACGAGCTCTTTCAGCGACCATATCTTGCATGCAAAAGTTGTAGGTGGGAGGCAACTCGTGGTTCCACCCCCATATATCATTCAGATCACTTGCAGTTGGGCGAAGGCACTCTTCAATGGTCGCTTCGGAATTCGTGAGGCATAGCCTGACAGTATCGGCAAGTGCCTCGACATGGTGCTTTACCGTGTAGGGCAACATGTTCTCTGTGTGCCACAATGGGCGGATCTCGAGGTGAGCATTATTGAAGCGAACTTCGAGATGAAGGAGACCCTTTTCAATGACGGTTAGTTACTAATGAGTGGCTATTGGTTTTAATTGTTTGCGTACTTCATCTTTGGCTTCTTCAGATGTCCGCGAAAGAGAGCTGGTGCTCAAAACGATGGATTCATGACTTGACGCTCCTGTGGTAATATTGGGAGAAATCGCAGTTGCAACTTCTCCCACGGTACTTTTTGAACCTTTCATTACTTCGTTCATTGATAGTTTGGTCACTGATTCGGGCTCAGCGCCATTTGCGAGATCTTTGTAAGACCAGTCGTATGATATCTGGCTGTCTTCGCGACTGCGCAGCAGAACAATGAGCCATGACAACAGCACAATCTCTTCTTTCATGCCGGTCGGAGTGGTCATTCGTTCTGAGGCAAGATGCTCAATTTGGAATGAGCTGAAGTCGCCATTTGTGTCTGTTGGGATTTTCTCAATTCCACCTGGCGCAATGTAGATTCCGGCATTTTCGAGAGATATGAAGCCCATTTTAACGGCAGACCAGCACAGCTAGTTCTGTTGCCCTTTAATCGATATGAGGAAGGATTTTGAGCTTGGCTATAAGTCCGGAGCCTTTGTGCGGGTTGATTCGACGGAATTGTGTCACTATATACCCAACTAGCCATGGTTCTACTGCATCATGCTCCACCTCAAGGCATGAATGCTCCGAAGTATCCTGAGTGTATGAAGTACCCTGCAGGTATTTGGTACAACATCACCGAGATCGGCCCTTGCGGGATGGGTGGATTATTCGACACATACAACCGTTTCGGGCGAAATGATACCAAGCCAAATCATGTGGCCGTTTCATCTTTCCTGGCGATTTGGGCCAATACGTGTATGTGATTTCAGATCACAAAGCTACAATAATACTATATGGTACAAAACGTGTCCACGGGCTCCACATGCGAGAAAAAGTAGGGGAAAATTGAGAAAAAAGAAGACTGTTCCGCCAGAACCATTTTCAGTTAGACCATTGCCCATCATCATCACGATATAAGTGAAAAAACCTAACTCGTAGGCTATGAGGAAGGTAGCGTGAACAAGATCGACCTATTTTTGAAACACATCAAGGTCAACTCCAAATTGAAAAGGAAACGTTATCCGAGGCTACGGCCAACTGCCCAGAGGACCCATAGTTGTGCGTCTCAAGCGGAAAAGCCCAATGAAGGAAGTGAGGAACGGGGGGTTTGTGATATTCTGTCATTCCGAGACCCACCTGTGGACCTTCAAGATCGCACGCATACGCATGTGTGTCGTATGTTGTATACACTTTTTTCAATGTACCACTGTAGAATGTTCCAACTAAACCCATTACTCATGACCTGTTATGTCCGTTTGGGACCTGACGCAACAAGTGTGTAAAAACGATATTGAAAAAAACCTTGCTCTGTCGCGCACGTTCCGGATTTGATCTCTTGGCTCGCTTGCAGAAAGCTTTGAACGAATTGTTTCCAACGCCACAAAATGCCCCTCCACTCATTTACATTCGCTCGGAAGTCTATTAAAGGCTACAACGTTGCACACACACATCAATCTTGGCTTTTTACAATGCATGCAAGAAACAAGATGTTATGAGCGCCTCTTCAGGCAAGTATCTTCGAATATGAAGCCGGGATAGGCTAACTTTTGATTTGACCAATGACTCTTACGTCTTTTTTTTCTTTCAAAAGATTATTTATGGAGATGCAGGTCTTGAGAAATTTACTCCGGCTAGTCCGCACGTTGACCTCAGTTTTCAAAATGGGGCAATCTAATCAGATTTCCGGTTTTCGGCCAATCAATCTAATCAGATCCGCCGATCTTGCCTATCCCGGCTAGTACCTACTAACCTGCATGTGTGCCACAGCCTTCGTCACAGCAGTGGAGTTTAATTGGCCTATCCTTATTTCCGTCCAACCTTGGTGTAATTATCAGCCGTATTAGGCGAAACACTAGTGTGAGGTATTTTATGGTATTTACTGCTCGTATAGGTGTTACATACCGACTTTTTTGCGATACACTGTATTACTTCGACAGGTGCTATGTAAACTGAAACACCTGGCTCAAGACTTCCACTTCGGTTTCTCAAAAAGTCTATGGGATCCCTCCGTAGCTTAGACCTTGGCGCAAAAGAATTCCATGGATGTGAGACTTGTTACCTAATATTTCGGCTTGACGCGGTATAATCAGATTGATAAGATGTCCTGAAACAGTTAACCCTGTGGATCGAGTGATCTGGTACAAACCAACCGACATTATTTGAACACATTCCGTCATGATAGAAAGACACAAAGCCCGATTTCGGCAATTACCTTGTCCCGAAGGCCCTCTCGCTAGCTGCAAGGCACTTTTCCCCTTCAATTGAACACCTTCGCACTACCCCACTACACACATCCCCTCACCCTCACACTCTCACCAAAATGTCCAAGTTCTGGCCTAAAGGAGGCCTTCCCGGTATTCTGCACCACTACGTACGTTTTCTACACCACCATCGAGCATAACCCTCGAATTGCAACTCACAATTGATCGCGTAACATACAGACCGAAACCCTCGTCACATTCGAATATGCTTCGACCGCCGTGCGCCAACCTCACAGTCTCCTCTTCGTCGGCGGACTCGGCGATGGCCTCGCAACAACATCATACATGGCCGATCTCGCGCGCGCATTACAGCAATCAGAATGGTCCCTCTTCACACTTAATCTCACGTCCTCTTATCAATCCTGGGGCCTTGGCCATCTCGACCGCGACACCAACGAGATCGCCCAGTGTCTGGAGTACATCAAGAGCTACAAGATCGATAAATTTGGCGGCGGCAAGATCGCACTTATGGGCCATTCTACGGGCAGTCAGTGCGTCCTGCACTACCTGTCCCAGTCAAACCCGCACACAAAGCTCCCGGCCTTCGACGCCCATATCGAACACATCACGCGGCCCGTGCTGGACGGCGCAATCATGCAGGCGCCCGTTTCGGATCGCGAGGCGATCTTTTGCGTCTTGAAGGGCGGTATTGGTGACACAACGCCTGAGAAGGCCCGTGCTGTCTATGATGAGATGGAGGCGTTGGCGAAGGAGGCTGTTGCTGAGGGGAAGCCTCATGATACCATGCTGCCTCTTTCGTTGACTTCCATGATCTACCCTGCCAATACCCCGATCAGCTGTCGGAGGTTCTTGAGTCTTGTTAGTCCTGAGAGTCCGCAGGCGCCTCGGGAGGATGATCTGTTCAGCTCGGATCTGAGTGATGACCACTTGAGGACTACTTTTGGCAGGATCCAGCAGCAGGGATTGTTGAATCACAAGCTGATGGTGTTGATCTCTGGGAAGGATCAGTCGATTCCTGATTATGTAGATAAGGACAAGATCCTTGCTAGGTGGCAGAAGGCTACTGATCATGATGGTAAATATCAGATTTGGGATCAGAAGCACACTGGGGTTATTCCTAATGCTTCTCATGCTTTGAGTAATGACGACCAGGCTGAGCCGCGGAAGTTCCTTGTTGAAAGGCTCTTGGGATACCTCAAGACGGCAGCAGAGAACGAATAATCGAACTGCAAGGAAACCTTGTGATACTGATCTAGACAATAAATTAGACACTATTTGACATGCTTTTCAATCGTGTACAAATTCCGGGGTGGATAGAATATCAGTGATTGATCTTCTAGGTCAACTACTACCAGTCAGTCTCTTGCGCATGAATATGTCCGCAACATTCGATCCTTGTGCCGCATTTGAGAGCTGGAAAGGGGTTTTCTAGAAGTATGAAGAGTAAGGCACAAGGCACTGTGGGAATCCATCCACCACTATTAGCCTACTTCCAGCCTTTCTACATGATGGCATCGTGCGATATAGATTCGTTGGTAACCTATTTTTCCTACCTTCAAACACTTTGAACCAAGATCAGTCGGCCGGATTTGCGGCCTTGTGATGTCTCCTTGTTAGTTATTCTGTGTCTGTGGGGGGTTGTTTTTTTCGTAGATGCTGTGTGCCCTTCTCAATTTCATACAGAGATCTCAGAAAAAGACTCGAGAGAAGAAAAATATCTGAAGTGGACTGTTCCTGATGTAATTTTTGATGGAGCATTGGTTCAAACCCAAGCTACACATTACGAGAGAAAACTCCAAGCCTAATGTGAGCAGTCTACAAACCCCTAAACGTATAGCAAGTAGTGTATCTATTGGGATTGAAGTAAATAGGGTACATACATGGAAGGTAAAGATACAGGTCAAAAGTTTTGATAACAAAAAGGAGAAGAAAGAAAAGATCGAAAGTCACATAAGACGCTCAAATGCACCGAGTGGTATCTAGTCGTCAATGGTAGAAATAATAAGGGACAATGAATGATAAGGGAGAGTCCAGAGAGGAAAGATCGGACAGAGAAGCGAAGTAAAGGCCCGGAAAAGGGGCGTGTAGGGAATGGTAGTTAGAGTAGATGTAGGCAAATAAGGCAAAAAAGGGAGTAAGGAAAGCCTAGGTCAAGGCAAGGTGGCTGCATAAAGAGTGAGAAAGGAAATTTTGTTTAGAACATGCCTCCATCGACAGGGATAGCAGGAGGCGGGTATTGAGGCACGGCCGGCAGAGTGTTAGTAATGGATCCCTGGCGCGCCCGCGCGTTCAGGTTACCACCCTCACTCGAAATCTTGCGGAGACGGCTGCGGGAGCGCGGACGTTTTTCTTCATCCGGGAAGATACTGTATTCGTCCCCAACGCTCGGGACCGGGGAAGCGACCCGTGGCAAATCGTTCTTGTCGCTCTTAAAGGCACCCAAGATGGTTTGAGTGGTGGTTCCGCGGCGACGGCGGGGGTTCATAGGTGGCACTGGAGGTGCGCTGCCGGGTGAAGGCAGTGCGGATCCGGGTGAGAGGCCGACGAGGGAGACGCTTGATGTGGATGAGACAAACAAAGGCTCGGAGATCTGCTTCTTGTTCACAGGACGCTTCATGAGAGAGCCCTGTCCCAAGCCACGTTGGGACGTCTGCGAGTTATTGGATGAAGAAACCATGGAGATAGACGAGCCATCTGTTGGCATGTCGTCCAGCGGAGGAGTGGCATTGGCAGAGTAAGCCGGGGCAGCGGGTGGGGGCCGGGGTGAGGCACCGATGATCGAGGACGTGTTGGACTGCGAGAACTGGAATGACCGTTCGTATTGAAAGCTTGGTGTATCGGATCGACTGGTACTGCTGTTTCTGCCCGAAGCGATAGAGGAAGTGCGGTCTAAGTTCGCAGGGTCAGACATCTCTGTCGATGGGCGACTCGATGTAGGGCGCGAGACGGGCAGGGAAGCCTCATAATCATCAGGAGCATTGTGACTATCATGTCCAATGATGGAACCCTCGTCCACAGTTTGAAGGTCATCTCGGTCGTGAAGTCTGGTTCGACTCTTTGACCGGCCTGGGGCATCCGAGCCTGCTCGGTCTCTCTGGTCTGCGAAAGGCGAGGAGCCACGGCTGCGGTTGGACTCACACGAATCCTCGTAGCTGTTGTCGCGGCTGAGAGATGGCATACGAGACCTGAGCGAACGCTCCGATCCAATCTGGGGAGAGCTGGAGTTGGGGTGCCGGCTGAAGTTGGAACAGGGCCGCTCCTCTTCACGCCACAACTCCTCTGGAGAGAGAGTAGACGTGGACGCATTGCTGGCGACATAACCAAACAACTTCTTTTGATCGGGCTTTGTGCTAGCCTGTTTGCTGGACTTTTGCTTCAACATGGCAAACGCATTGCCAGCCCGGAACAAGTCTGGAGTTGACCGGCCCGGGGTGGGACTGCTGGACCGGCTTTCGCTCTCAGCAGCAATTCGCAGCTTCTCCTGCACCTTCCTGCGCCTTTCTGCCAGCTCGATGGCGAATTCCTCTCGCTCCCTTTGGGTCTCAGTGCTTCCGTGACGGCGATGGCGAAGTTCCAATTCCTCCCGCCAGGATGAGCCGTTCGATACAGAAGCTGTGTCAAAATAAGTTCCAGTTGCAAATGACTCTGCACTGTTTCGAGAAGCTGTGCCCTCGGCAGAATTTCCAGAAAGGGATTGCGAGCTCGAGGTTCCTGGGCGGATTGTCGATGATGGCCGACTCTCTTCGCGAGGTTCGGCTATCATGGGAACACCAGTTGGTGGCTTCGGGGTATCGGTCTTATGGATATATGTACCACTCTGCTGCTGTGCAGGGCGAGGCGAGGGAGGGGGGAAGATAGAAGACTTGTCACTTTGCTGGCGAAGGTGGGATATAATCATTTTCCCCACTCCGATATAGCCATGATCTGGCTCCAGGGTGGGCGAGTCGGGTCTCTTGGGTGTATTATCGCTGGTTCCAGAAGACGAGTCCTGGAGGTCAAGGTCGTTCTCGTTAATAGGTCTCAGGTCGCCCAGATCGGAGTATCTCACTTCGGGGAGCGTTTCGAGGTGATCCTCAGTGGTAGTCGGTGGCTTGTTAGATGCTACTCCGGAGTGCTGGAGTGGCGGACCGTACTCGGTGACCAGCGAAGTCGCAGACGAAAGTTCTCGGGAAGAAGGGTTCCCTCCTTCATCGCCAGATCCACTGGCAGTGGATTTGGCATAGAAATTCTTCACTCCAGGTTTAAAGGGAGAAGCCTCAACGCTGGACGCACAAGAATTATCAATGCCGCAGTGCGCATCACTAGTATAATGAGACGAGGCGGATTCCGCTCGGGAACCATAGCTCGACTTCGACAGTCCCCGAGTGCGGCCCGCGGGTTCTGCCGGTAGGGGTCTACGCGGGGGGGATGCACGACGCGGAGGCGGGGTCTTTCGTCCTTGGTGCATTTCAAGTTGGCGGCGGGAGAATGCCTGCTCATCAAACCCAGTGGCAGGACGGTTGAACAAGCCCATGGCGGTGGCTTTTCCATGGTCTTCTGGGTGAATAGATGCAGCCAGTAGCGAGGGAAACTCGTCGTTCTCGCTTATGGGAGGGCTCAGGGGAGGAGCCCCAAACGTTGCTGCTGCGGGCAAAGGACGGTCTCTGGGCGCAGCTTCTCCGGACATGCGCGGCTTTGGTGACGTTGCAGACGAAGGAGGGCTGGTAGCCTGTGAGGTGTAGACCAGCTCGACGACTGCAAGATTTTGTAGGCGTTCCCGCAGGTTGGTCGCACTTCTGGAGTAGTTGCGGTCCAAAGAAGGGAGATCTACAGTGCCGGCACGCTGGCGGCTCAGACTCTCTAGGCGATCCAAGGTCGAGCTCTGCTGGCTCTGGGCAGCCTGGGTCAATCCTTGTCCGTAGAGACGACGGTTGCGGGTTGAACCGTTGCGCGGGGCATACATGGGGCCCGGAAGGGTTTCCGGGGGCGAAACAGCGGTCACTGAAGAATGGGATGCGTTCGGTAACTCATCAGCCGAGGTTGCTGTAGTTAATGATGGGACTGTTGACAGAGGCCCAGATGCGGTGGAGGAGGATCTGGCCCGGCTGGTAGATGAGGCGGTTGAGGCGGCATATTCAGACTCCCGGGCGGCCTCCACCGTTTTCTCTTCCTTCTCCTTGAGGCGCAACCGCTGGAAAGCGGAGAGGTTCATATTAGAGTCAGAGAGTGGCTTTCCCATTCCCCAGCGAGGAGCGTCTGATGTATCGGGGGTTGTTGCTACTGGCGATCTAACCGGAATCTTGTAAGTCTTTTGGCGACCTCCGAACAGATTATTGCCCTCAGTGCGACGGCCTCTGCTCATCATGCTACCCCCATGGGATCGGTCATCGTCTGTCCCATAGCCATCTCCACCGGAGACGAAAGAACCGGTGCGGTCAAGTGCAAGGGATGGTCGGCTACCATCATTGGAGCAAGTTTCGTCGATGTCGGTCAACGCAGCGAGGTCATGGCCGAACAAATTGAGTCGTGAAGCGCGCTTGGGAAACAAAACGCTATCATCACTGGCCTTGCCTAGCATGGAAAGTGGGTCGTCCTGTTCCTTTAGCATGCTGAATCGAGCGGACAACTTGGGCATTAGCAGACTGGTACGGAAGTTGTCTGTCGGGGGCAGTGCGGCGGATAGGTCGAACTCCGGTTTGGGTTCCGGCGCCACCTTCTTCTTCGATGGCTTCAGACTGAATCCTGGTGATGCCGCCCCTCCTTGATTCTCCGCGTGCTCCTTCGCCTTTTTGCTTTTGCGGAATCGATTCATCGTGGATGGTAGGCTCAAGCCGCTCAGGGGCCACCTCGTCTCAGGAAAGGAATAAATGCGATTCGGTACAATCTAAAAATTGATTTGAATCAATGTCGACGATCCCAGCGAGTGTGCAGTAGTGATAGTAATAGTAGTAGTAGTAGTAGTAGTAGCAGTAAGTAGCCTTAGGGTCGACCCGTGTCTCGGTTTGGCGCAATGCCTTCAAACGTTCACAAAGGATTTCCTTATCCAGAGAATGAAACGAGCGGCATGACATTCAAGTGCAACGAGTGCGGATCGAGGCCAGGGAGATCAAAGTCTCCTGAAGAGAAGAGGCGCAAGGAATGCCAAATTCGGGCAGTGTACTGTAAATCGTCCCGATCCAAGGCCAATCAAGGTAGTTAGCGGGGATTGACAGATCACAGCATGAGAGAAATAGGAAACGATGCAGAGTTGAGAAAGAAATCGACAAAGACAAAAAAAAAAAAGAGTGACTGGGGAAATTGACGCGAAGAATGAGAGGGGAGATTTGGAATGGATCCAGAACTGTACAAAGCTCTCTGTCTTAGCGGCATGCCATTTTACCAGAAAAAAAAAAAAAAAAGGAATCTAGATGATCGACTCAAATTGGTGTCCACCGGTCGATCAATATTCAGTAGTCAATCTTCTTATTCTAAGAATTTTTTGACATCGAGCAATTTAATGAGTACAATCGTTGACTGTTTCAGCTCCGTATGCCATGAGAAGCCTCCCGAAGCTATATCCATGGTCCGAAGGGATGGTCCACTTGGGCCAATAGTCCAGATCCTTTTTGTATCGAAAAAGTAGCACTTTGGCAAAATTACGTCTGTCACCCCCCTTGCGTAATTTAAAAAAAAAAGTGTCGGATCACATCCCCCTCTCTTCTGACTGTGGAACCTGGGGCTGAACGCCACTCTTAACTACGGTCTGGGTTGGATCTGTCGATGCCAATTCTCTCGAGACCTGCAATTTGGTATTCCTCATGTTGATCTTCTGATGAAACTGGAAGCTCTGCGGTGAGGAGAAAAGTCCTTAATTCACGAGAGAATCCCAGGGACCTGGATGCGGGAAACACCATCGTTACCCCATGACTTCACTCCATGCAATCCACCGTACGAGACAGGAGATTGATGCTCACGGTCACGGTGGTTCATCCAGTCTCTCAGATCCAAATCGAGCAGTAGACTCGAGTCACACACACACACACACACACACACACACACACTTTTGAAGTCATCAAACTCCTTGCTTCACAGTAAGCCGGCAGCAAGGAAATTTTGTGGTAATCGTCAATGTGGAGGCTCATCAGACATGCGATACACCGCACTACAAGAGGCAATGGTCCGAGAATATGTGTGGGAGATTCATCTCGATCATCCTCTGCGATATCTCCATAGCGCACCATGTTGGCAAAGACGGCTGGGGTTGAAAACATGAATGGAGTGCACCTCATAGGACACAGTCTACCAAGCCTGCAATAATAACGGATTCAGCCAAAACCCAGAGTCAGGAATTTTCCGACTGGGCAGGAGCTCTTGTCGGGTGCAGGACAATGGGATAGAGTCAGTACTCCGGAGGGTACTGACTCTGCATCTGAGGCTAACCGAAAGTACAACATACTTGGTAATGGCTTGTGGGTCCCACGGTCAGAGAGAAGCTGAACGAAGCTGAACCTGCCCCGATAGAGTCAAGGTTTCCACTTGACACCATTTCTGATCGAAGGTCCCGAGGTCTGATTTGTCCTCCGAACAGTATGGTGGAACCTATGTGATGGAGAACGACTGAACCAAAAGCCTAGAACGGGGACAGAAAAAAGGAGTAAATTTCGTTAGCGCGTCTCTTGCGTTTGGCCCCGTACAACATAGGCTTGACAGCCGTTTGGGAAAACCCTACAAGCTTTTCAATCTTCCGAGCTTGACTCGAACGAGTTAGGCATGCGTTTTTGCCGTGTTATTTACCACAAAGATATGGGAAAACCCGGTCGTGGTTGGGATGCCCCTGACTAGTCCTAACCTGGATCGTATTTTAAACACGTCGAGGTTCTTCGCTTTTTTTTTTTCTTTTTTACGTGGTATCTTGAACACATTTGAAGACACAGCATTTTCAGTCCATGTCTTAGGGATGGACCAAAATTTTGAGATCCAGGTTGCTTTGATTGGATTAATGGCAATTTAAATCGACAACACGCAACATGCTTTGGAGCATCAGACATCAACGTACCGGAAAGCATCCGCCAACCGGGTCTCAATCTAGCGGGCCAATCCTCGTGGCTAAACTTTCGGGTTCGGAGTTTAAAAAAAAAATTCAAAATCCCCGACTTTGGACCTGTCAACTGGCCGCAAAGGTCGTAAATGCAAAACGTCTTACACGGCACTGGGTACTTCCTACATCGTGACCTTGCGCATGGTTTGATACTTCCAGAATGCAGAGAATCAAGAATCGAATCTCTGAAAGTCGCAATCAGCTCGGCATCCAGGAACCGATCGCGAGTGTCAACATCCGGAGTAAGAGACGGAGAGATCCAGGGGCTTCCGCCTACATAATCAATCTACCGACCCGGTGGAAACTTGACCCAACAAAATTTGCACATTACAATTGGAGCCCCTCCCATGATGAGGGGTTGCTGAGACCGGGACAACCCCGGTCTCTCGATGGGTGTTCTTGGGTTGGAAATTGCCAGATGTATCCATGGGGGTTCTAGTCGTATGACCAAAGCGAATCTGCTTAGACGGAGGACTCCGTCCTCCGAGATGATTTGTTCGTCTCAGGTGTCGCGGTCACTCTACGAAGGATGATCTACAACATACATCGTATTCGTGGAGTAGGTTTGTGCCCAAGTGTGGGTTTGGAACGAGTTTGGGGCGCTGTGTTACTCGGGCAAAGCCTGTAACCCCGAATTGGTCTCCGAAGGTGGAGTCGGCAGTTGAATTTGGTGTCCGTCGAGTTCGATCCCTTAATCAGAGAAAAAGTTTCTTAGCGTTGCACAGCATGGTGGTTTTAATTTACTTCAGACGGGGCGTTGGGTTCTAGAACGCAGAGGAACTGGGTTCATTGGCTTAGCCCTAGAAACCCCGTCCAAAAGGCCATCTCCTGTAGACCCTAGGTACGGAGTATGGAGCAAAGGAGCAATTTCATGAATGGGCTTGAAGTTTCACCGGACTGGGGACCCACCGGAGAGATTTGTTCACTATCGCGAATATGTACAATACTCTCCCACCGATTGTTGAAAAAAAAATCCCCCCATCTATCAACGCAATGATCACCTATAGCAAGGTAGAGAATAGGATCTCAGAGGTTGCTCGGAGGATAGAATCATGCAGGATGTACCATTGACAAAGATAAACGATACGCTGCACGCTCGCTCAAACCTCCATCACACAGGGACCACCATTCCTCCCACATTACCACACCAAGTCCAGAGAGCGGGACAGGAAAAGAGAAGAAAAAAGAAGAATAGAGAAGACAGGGGAGAAAGGAAGCTCCTTTTCATTCATACATGATCCCACCCAATTCAGAAGGGGAAAGCAAAAACACAAAAGAAAGGGTCGTCTGCTCATAGCACAATAACTGCAACAAAAAGGTCGCATTCTCAAACCAGAATCCTTTCGTCCAGTTACTTACTGGCTTCCCAGCCCACCCAGCTACGGGGCATCACTCGCCAGACCTTGCATTCACCACTACGGAGGTCGTTTAGCTTGAAGCTCTCCATCTTGACCTTCTTGCTTTCGCGGCCTTGCTCCCAGGCTCGGATCTTTTTCTTCGTGCCGTCCCAATCGACAACAATGCCGACGTGGTCGGGCTTTCCAACATCGGCACTATACTTCTGGTGCATAGTGCCGCGGTGGCCCTGGAATCGGGCATTGCGGAAACTGACGATATCACCGGCGCGGATTTCATCGTTCTGGAACACAGAGGCATTGGCCAGGTTGGAATAAACCGAGGCACCGTATCCACGGGTCCCCACGGGGAGCAGTGCGTCGGAAAGAGGATTGAGCAAGTACTGAACCAGGCCGAACGGGGTGCCGTCTCCAACGGTAGAGTTTTGAACTGAATTGACAGCTTCCGAAATTCGGGTTCCAAGCTGAATATGAGCCTGCTCGAGCTGGTCCTGGCGAAGCGGGGGCGGCGGGGGTTCATGGCGCTGCTCGAAAGAAGCCTCTGTGGGGCTCTTGGGATCGAACTGGACGTTCAGAACTGTCTGGGAGTAATCGATAAACAGGATATAGACGTCCTTCGAAACTGTCGTTTTGCCGCTGCGGTTTGTGGACGCAGTCTCCTCGACCTCGAAAAGCAGATCGGTACGGTTCTGGAAAGCTGGAGGTGGGGTATTGGGTTTAGTCCACCAGAGGGAATAGGTGGCGAAATCAACATCAGTGGCGATGTAGCCTTGGTCAATAGAGGGGCGAGAAACATCCATAGACCGACGAAGGTTAGGCTGGTTTCTTAGAATATCCATAGATGCGCGCTGGGTTCGAGTGGCGGATGGAGATGGCAAACCTGAAGACTGGCTTTGGGGAGGCACATGCGCCAGTGAAAGACGCTTCTCATTCAAGGCGGAGGGTCTTTCTTTGACCGGGCTCTGCAAAGGGGGTGCATCGTATAGGTCGTCATATTCATTGGCCGCTTGTGGTGGTGGGAAAGGAGGAGCTTCTGGGCGACCGAGCGGGAGGGGCGGAGATGTGGGGACACCATGCTGGGGAGCGGAGTAGTTGAAGGGGTCATATTCCACATCATCATCATCATCATCATCATCATCGCTGGCTGGCTCTCTGTTCGGCGGAGGAGGCGGCGGCGGCCCCCTAGGTGTGTCAATGGACGCACGGGCATTCCGGGGCGGCTGGCTTGGGGGTGGAGGCGGAACTGCCCTGGGAGCGGTGGGCGGAGGTGGTGGGTGCCGGGATTCCTGAGGACTATACGGGGACTGAATGGATTGGTCTTCGGCGATGATACCCTCGTCAAAGCTGGAGTCGCGCTCGTGAGCTTTCAGAGCATCCTTGTGTTTCTCTCCTGATGCGATATCAGTGTCGTAGTCTCCATCATATTCAGTAACCTCTCCTTCCACTTCTTCTCCGGCCTGTCGAGGAGCAGCCAGCGTAGTCGTGCGACTATCGGCGGTAGATCCGCGACGAAGCTGATCGGGAGGCGGGGGAGGGGGTGCGCGGCCCTGCGATGATGGTGGCATGGGCGGATTGACTGGAATAGGGGGTGGGAGACGACTAGCTCTCTTTTCAGCTGCAGGGGTCGGAAATGTAGGGGCCACGGTGTCATATGTTGAGGAACGGCGAGAATCAATCTGAGCAGGTATCGCAGGTGCAGGCACGGCCGGTGGAGCTGCCGAGGTATTCAACGACAAAACAGATGTGTGCACCGACAATTCATCATCTGACTCTTCACCCTTGTCGGCAGTTGTGGGCCGTGATAGAGATGGAGCCGATCGGCCTACGTTGTATCTCATCGTCAACACTCAATTCAAGTAGGTTGATTCGGGGCCTGAGTATTTACCTGCAGGAACTGGCGGAGGGGAAGCCGGTGGCTCACTTGGGACAGTCGGGACGGGTCTTGACTCTCGAGGAGGCGGAGGAGGCGCCGAACGATCTGCGACTATCAGAAATTGAAACCATGCATTGAGATGCCGAACTATATCTTACCTTGAGATGGGGGAGCCGGGGCTGGATGATCAATGGAGGCACGAGGCGGTAGACCTTCGTGGATGACCTCCTCGACGTCTGGGACCTCACATGCAGAGTGTTGTTCCGTGAGAGGAGTTGCTGAAGGGTCCTCCTCTTCCTTCTCCACTTCAGTAGAAGGTGCTGGCTTGCTAGCCACGTTCATTCCAGGAAGGGGGATCATAGGAACTGGAGGCGCATTGGCAGGGGAAGTAGGCTCATGCTCGACCTCTCCAAGCCTCTTCTCTGAGTCGCCGGAAGTCTTGGTCTTGCGAGCACTGCCGAGACCAGACATGCCTGGCATACCTCCAGAAGGCGGGCCAAAGAGACCCATCATACCCATTCCGCCGCTCATCTTGGCCATTCGCTCACGCAATTCCATTCTACGCTTGGTTTCGGGATCCAATTCCTCCTCTTCCTCTGCATCGCTCTCGTCTTCGACATCTGCCTCGGCAGTTTGCTCGAGTGCACGAGTCAACTGTTGACGTTGGGAGACTGGACGAGACTGGGGCTGCTTGTCCTCATCATCCTTACTAGTGGATGTTTCGCCTGTATCCTCGGAGTCTGCAGCAGCAGAGTAGTCGGCGTCATTGGCGTCGCTCGCGATTTCTTGAGTGGGCGAGAATGGGACAGCTGCCTGTGGAAGAGGGGCCGCGGCCCTCAATGTATCAACACTAGCATCCCGAGCAGCTGAAAACTCTTCCACGGGGCGAGGAGACTCTTGTTCCTCGTCGAGAACTGCGGGGGCCACGGGTTCATCCATCGACTTCTTAGGAGGGCGGGAGGGTTTTTCCTTCTTCTGAGCAGCTTCTGCATGACGCTGAGCTTGCTCTAGTTGTTGCTTCTGGAGCAAAGCAATTCGCTCTTTCAGGCTAGTTGGCTTGGGTTGGTCCTCTGCTCCCTCTTCGCCGCCTTCAATGGGAGCAAGCCGGCTTTCAGAAACTGGAGGCTCGCGGGCATTTTGTTCCTTTACATCGGGATCCTCTTCTCTTTTGTAGACCTTGGGTGCAGGTTCCCTTGGTGGAGGCTTGTAGGCGTCCCGGCTAGGAGGCGGCGCGACGAAAGGCTTCTTGATGAAGAATGGCTGGGAACCACCCGGTTTGAATGGCGTGACTGGTGCTGCTGCGGGTTTGTTGAATGCGGCAATACGATCCCTGAATGACGACCCCGAAGGCTTCCCTGCTACAGCCGGCGGTGCAGGTTTAGAGAGTGCTTTCGCAGCAGGTTCAACTGGCGCCACGGGAGCGGGAGCTGGCGCTTTTGTTGGCTTCGGGGGCGACGATACAACTTCTACCACAGGAGCACTCGCACGTAGAGGAGGAGACTGGGGCAGAGGTGGCTGCGGGGATGCAATCTCATAATCTTCCTCTGTCGGCTGCACCACTGGCTCGGGCTCAGGCTCAGGTTGCTTGATTTCGACCACGGGCGACTCCACTGGCACCGGCTCAGTCTCCTTTCTGGATCTGGGTCGAGATGGCCTCGGAGGAGCCGGAGGTTCGTATCTCTCAACGAAGTTTTTCGGGAAAATGCCCTCCTGCTTGACCCCCTGGGCGTCTGAGTATTCACCGTAGTACCAATCATCGTCCTCGAGGGCGGTGACGGTCATGATTTGACCGATCGGGAAATTGAGGTCATCATCGTGACCTGAAGCATACTCGAAGACCGAGCGGACCGTAAATGGCGGACCTGACATCTGGCAAGTCGGGACCGAAGTTCAAATTTGGGGATAAAACAGTGTGGAGTGAGGAGAACGAGTCTGTGACGCAATGGCGCTAGAATATCTGTACAGAACGAATCGCCAGCTTCAATACCTTTAGCATGAAGCGATATTTAAAGCGAAACAAATCAATTCTTTTGTGGTAAGAATGCGTGTCAGCTCATATGAAACAGATGTCAACGAGTGGGTGCCTACAACCAGATGAGGGGGGAGGGGGTAACTGCGGAAGCACTCACGGCGTTGAGAGAAGCGAAAACCCTAGGCAGGGCCAGCGAAGATTTGATGCAAGATGAAGAAAAAAAGAACACGGTCGGAAAGACACGAAAAATTAGTAGGGAGAGAAAGACGTAGTGAAGTGGTTGTCACCTGGCGGGATGAGGGAAATGGGCTCCACTGGGCGATCGGCCGCTCACACATCAACCAGGGAAACACGCATATGGAAGGGGGGGGGGGAGGAGGGGATGCCCATGTTCTTTAATCATAGGAGTTTATACAGATTTTATATATATATATATACATACATATAAAAATATAAAGTAGTAGTGTAAATTGGTTTCAAAAGAGGTATGCTAAGTAGCTTGAAACGTATGTAGATAGGTAGGCTGAACGGCTATACACGTCACTAAGTTACATAGGCGAAAAGAACTATTCCATGTAAATTGTACTGAGGATATACTATAGATAATAGATACAATTTGTACAAGCTATGCGATCCCAAAGATTAAACTGAGAACTCCGTTATTGTTAAAAAAAAAAAGAGTCATGGATGCACAAAGCCTACGTCAGTAGTGAAGTGTCCTTGGGGGTCAATCTGGGGGGTTTCGCCTCTCTCCCGCTTTGGAATTAATTCTGCTGGTTCTGTTTTAATTTTTTGGGGATCTCGTCTCACTTCGCAGTTCAACTCATTTTCAATTAAATCCTCCTTGAATTATCTTCCAGGGACATTACTTCTAAATTATGGCACAGCAAGGGCCGAGCTGCCCTCTCAAGACCTCTCTTCCCAAGACATTTGCCGCCGTCAATGCCCAGCATCCTCCACCTTCATACTCATATCCTACACAAGAAGAGCAAGACAAATACCTAGAAGGTAGGCCTGGTGCAACCCAGAAGCACCTCGAAGTCGCTCTGCAACACGCGCAGCAGATCCAGACCCAAAAAGACGCCGAAGATGTCATTCTAAACCGCATTCTTGAGCTCCTCGAGCTTCCCTCCTCCCCGACAGCAGACCCTGCCGCGCCATCTCGAGAAGATACCGTAAAAGTCAAATACTCACTCGCCCCATTCCGCCCCAGCGACTACGACAACTTGATCCTTGAACGAAATTTTGAAGACTTGTGCGGGTATGCTTTATGTCCTCACAAACATCGCAAGCAAAACAATGGTCCACAAGGCGGGTTCCAATTTAAATACGGTCCCAAAGGAAGCGGGCCAGGAGGACGCGGGCGCAGCGTGGAAATCGTTTCCCAGGACCGCGTCGAAAAGTGGTGCTCAGATGCATGCGCAGAGCGTGCTCTTTGGATTCGAGTGCAGCTGTCCGAGAAGCCTGTATGGGAACGAAGGGCAGGTGATACTCGGGGCACGACCATTCTACTACTTGAGGAAGCTCGTGCCAAGCGCTTGAAGGCACCGGCAGCTACTAGTAGCGTCTCTTCCGTTGTGGATGATTTGCAGAGCATGGGCCTGGGGAATCGCGATCGGTCCCGGGAGCTTGCGTTGGAACGCGGCGATATCAGCATGATCCGTCCGGATGGACGTATTAACGTCGATGTCAGAGAGAATCAACGTGGTCCTTGCCAGGTTGCTAGCGCTCCACAGATGCGTCCGGAGGATGAAAACGGCGGTTCGATCGAAGGATACGTGCCCAGGGAGCGACGAGACGTGGATCAAGATGGAGACATAGACTTGCTTGATCAGATCTGATGTAACAAAGTCGTTATTAGATTTCCCAGGGGCTTTTAGCGTTCTACTTTTTTAAATACCCGATCAGTGGCGATTTTGACACAGGAGTAATGGACAATCTACGCAGAGACCATATAGATGGCTATCGGCTGGCCAGCCGGACTCATCCACACATGTGGATGTGTAGGGATGAATCCAGACATGACCCCAAGAGCCATGAGGTCTCGAGTCTCTTGGACCGAGATAACTCCCAGTTCAAGAACTCCTACGTAGTCCAACTCAGAGAGTTAACTCATGAGTAGACACGGAGGGGAAAATTTGGCAATCAAGCGTCATCTCATTTCGGAGAATCAGCGACACCTTTCTCAAAGAGAATCATGTTTATTCATTCCTCATCCAGCAGTAGCCTTCCACACTAAGCTAAACCATGATAGCCGGGAGAAAAGCCAGCCAGAACAGACATTGTCGGGGTACCGCCAGGGTCGGCCAAAGGCCAGGTTTGAATTTTTTTTCGTTATTTCGGACGCTGGGTTTAGCGGGGACCGAAACGACGGGGGCGCTCGGCCTGCTGCTGCTGGCTGACAGCAACAACGTTGACCTTGAGGTTGTCGAACTGTAGAGTTGTTAGAAATGTACAAAGCCGTTGCATTGTGCAGTGAAAACTTACGCCAAGAGACTTGAGAAGGTCCTTGGTGTCGGCGTCAACGTCGAGCTGACCGGACTCGGTCTGGGAGACATCGAGAGCGGAGACTTCAGGAACGTACTGATCCTTACGCTCACGCTCCTCCTCCTGCAGCTTGAAGGAGATGCCGCGGACGGGACCACGCTGGATGCGCTTCATCAAGTGGGTGGTGTAACCAGCAATCTAGAAGAAGTCACGAATCAGAATCGGAGCTGTCGAACTGTTGGTGCCAATGCATCAATTCTCACCTTGTTGCGAAGACGCTTGGAGGCAATGATGGCGATCTCATCACAGATACGCTTGTTGGTCTCGAAGTCGAGGGTCAACTTGGGGTAGTAACGCTCGATGATGACCTTAGCGGAGCGCTTGACTGTCTTGGTACGGACGCGACCCATTTTGGCGGTTGTTGGCTGGCGGAATGAATGTTCGAAAAACCGTAAGTAGTCGTGCCGATTTGGATGAGTTTGAGAGCTGCTTTTCGCTTAGTCCTGTGCGGGTCCTTGCCCTAGGCCCTAATCACGCTATCACGTGTCGACCAAGGACGGGGTTTCTATGATTATGTCAGCACACGCGACATCCAGCGATTGCTGTTTTAGGAAGGTAGCAAACACCAAAAGTATATCGTCGATAATCGAACTTGCTTGTCTTGTAAATCTTCTTTTGGTGGATAGTAGGCCTTTGAAGTGGTCGCTGTGAAAATAACTTGATATTGAATCTTCGATTTATATGACATAGTCAGAAAAGAAAAATGAAAGTTGCTTTACACAAGCACCAAATCTATCATACATGGTACAATCCCTTGCACACAACACCCACATTTCACTTTTCTCTATGACCTAGAGTTGAGGTTGTTGAGAAGGCTGCGCGCGACGTCCTCTGTCCCCCTTGTTGGTTGCCTCCGGGTCCGATTCTCGGTGGAAGGCTGGAATCGAGGCTGCCCGAATGGCTGTCTGTCCAACCTTGGGACAAGCGGGGATGGGGCAGTGGCAACATCGGAGATGGTCAAGGTACTCGGCTTGTGGTAGTCTTCGATTCCGTAAGGTGCCTTTGCAGTTGCACTTGCACGATAAGATGAAAGGCCAATACGGCCGTCGGAGTCAACCGAAGCCCGGATGGGAGTAACCCAGTATTTACCTCCGCCAGGGATGGATGCATCGAAGAAAGTTAGACCAGGGGGTGTACCTTGCTCCACAAAGGTCATTGCGTTCAAATCTTCAACAGCAATACCACCAATACCTGCGAGGGCACGTGCCATGCGTCCCTTGAAGCGGCCCTTGGGGCGCAAAATGCGAGCCTCGACAGGGCGCTGGTGGGCTTGCGGGCCAAACTGGGCATGATTATGGATCAGAGCGTGTGATCGTGTGTAGGACAGACCGCCAGACGGGTGTGTCTTCGGGGGTCCTGAGACGGCGTATTCGAATGAGGACAATTTGCTTCCAGGGGCCTGGTAGTATTTGCGCCCGATGCGCTCGCTGGGAACCGCAGGCGGGGAAGCGAGGTCGAGCAGATCAAAGACCACAGGACCGAGAGCGAATGGGTCATTACGCAGAGCTTTGATGTAGGCTTTGAACTCCGCATCGGTGACAGTTGCGGGATGGGCTTCCAAATCCTCTCCATTATCCTGTGCCAGTTTCCGGATCTCAGCAGACCGCTTAGCGACAAATTGTTCGCGAAGCTTCTGCAGGAGCTCGGGCTTATTGCGAGTCACTTGCTTCAAGTACGCTGCGAACTCTGCCTCCGTCTGGCCAGCAAGCCAAGGACCGGTATGTCTGAATTGTTTGGCACCAGGTTCCTGAAGACCCTGGCTGGTCTCGGTGTTGTCGAGATGCGTTTCGAACGGACTTTGGTGTCGTGGCACAACACTTGTGGCGTAATTGACTTTGGAGGGGAGAGACATAGGCATGTGCAGCTCCTGGAACTTCTCGAGGGTCACGGTGTGATCTGCGGCGGATTCGAAGTCGGTGACATGTTCATAGGTATCGAGGGCGTGCACCCTGACGACAGGTCTCGATGATTTCTCTGATGTTGATTTAGCCGGTAAAGGTCGTTTCAGTCCCCAATCGCCTCGGGCTAGTGATGATTGTGGTGTGACGATGGAGGCTCGAATGGGGTAGGGCAGAGTTGCGGAGTCGGATTCTCTCGATGTTTGATCATTGCGGCCCTTGAGGGTTTTAGGAAGTGCGAACAAACGCGAGTTTCGCAGCAAGTTCGCCGTTGGTGATAGCCTGGCGGAGGCCATCTCGTTCAATAAATTGACAATGTGATCTTGGATAGCTGGCGCGAGAAAAGTTGACCGGAGAACACGGGCCAAAGCGATACGGTAAGCCACACTGACCCAACCCGCGGTTTTGTATCTATACTTTATGCCTGTGACAACGCTCCACTAGTAATTCTATAAAACTACATTATTTTTATTATACCATGTAAAAGGCGGGAAAACTTGATGTAGTTTGTATACATCCTTGCAGAGGATCAATGTCTTGTTCCTTCGATTACAACGTTTCCATCAATTCAATCTAGATCTATGAAATGAACAAGGCCTTTCCGTGTTTAAACACCAACTGCTAGAATAGAATCAATGGCATCTGAGACTGCTTGCTTTAGTGGACGATATTTGAGCCCAAGAATCTTTTGCGACTTAGTGTTGTCAATCTCATAGATGTTTTCCGGGAAGTCGCCTGGGGCGTCCGCAGGGGGCAGCTTAGACTCTAACTGGGGGTGGGTCTCGCGAGCAATATCTGCAAGTTCCTTATTCGAGAAGAAGCCAGCGGTGACAAAGAATCTCTCGCCTCCTGCTTCGGGGACTTCAAGGGCTCTGACATGTGCAAGGGCCACATCGCGCACATCTACCCAGAGGAAATTGCCTGTTGGAGCTATTTTCTCCTTCATTTGACCCTGGACGATATTTCTCAGGCGCTGGTTCGAGGTGTTGATAGCCTCAAGAGAGTTAAGATAATGAACGATCGGGCCAAACACCAGTGGTGGATTGATGGTAGCAATATCGAAATTAGGCTTCTCCTTCTCGACGAAGGCCCAGGCTGCTTTCTCCGCAAAAGTCTGATATGGAACTGACTTAGCGATGGCATTTGGTCAGGCTGACAGTCAAAAATCACCTACCTTGCTACCGCGGTAAACTTGCGAGTGATCCATCGACTCCTCCCATGTCAAGGGGTTCCATTCTTTTTCGCTGTAGACCTTGGGGTGTTGCTTGCCATTCACGATAGCAGCGAAAGATGATGTGATTACCACTCTCTTCACGGTGGGAGCGTATTCCTTGATTGCCTTCAAAATACCGGTTGTTCCCTTGATGGCCGGGTCTAGGAAGTCTTTCACAGGGTCTTGGACGTTAAAATGGAAAGGAGATGCTGTATGGAGAACGTAGTCAAAGGGAGGGGTTGATTTTACGGCCTGTTGTATTTCCATTAGTTTTGTATCTATTTGGGGAGAATAACAATCTTCTGCTGACCTCATCAAATGCACCGTCCTTAGCTACATCCTTGACAGTCACATAAGAGAGCTTCTCGTTCGGCACGTCGGGGTGCGCCTCGATAATCCGATTGCCCTTCTCTTCGGATCGTACAGTAACAACTGTGTCAAAACTAGAGTAAGGCTGTCAGCTAGCAACGTGTATATTTTTGTTGGCTAATTCATACCCATGCTGCAGCAGGATGTCAACAATGTGGGCGGCGATGAAGCCACTCCCTCCTAAAGCAGGTGATTAGATTGGGCTGGAGGGCAGATCAAAATCACATACCAGTCAAGAGAACTTTAACCATTGTAAGAGATGATTTAAAATTGTAAATGTTGTAAAGATATGTTGTTTGGGATGTTTTAGTATTTGGACAGATAGGGCAAAAGAGCGAGAGTACAACATAGTTTGGCTTTTGTGGTTCCCCTCATCCCGTCATCCCCCGCAATGGCCTGTTACAGCCTGGGAAACTCGATCAGGCATTACAAATATAAGTATCGGTGATAAATGGAGTTCAGGTACCAATTTGGTTCAGCCAAATCCGTATCTTCGGAGAAACCCCTAGATGAGACTTAGCCTGGGCACTCAGTTTATCTTCTTCCCCTTTGTTAGAGCCTCTGCATGATTTAACCCAAACCTCTTTCGGCAGCATTGTCTACATAGTCCTTGACAAAAGATGAAATGCTAACCTTGGTAGACTATGCAAAGTTCCTGGTTATATACGTCTCTTCGGTGAAACTGGCATGCCAGAGGTTTGATTTGATGCCTGCTTGGCGTTTCTCGATTCAAGGTGTAGGGAATAGAACTACAATTATTGGATGCTATCATCGGTGCCCTGTACTGAATACCTTCATGCTGCGTCGCAAATTATCTTAGTTTTGCAATTCGCATCTTCTATTTGATATTATCGGCAATTCTCCCGTGTACCATGTAAGCTACTACCCTTATAAGGCGCTTCATGTTAAGCCCACATCTACAAAGCTTCGCCTAGGATGTGCGATGGACCAAGCACCCACACATTTGTTCTAATGTGAGGGTAATTCTATCATACCAAAAAGACTGAACAAGGCCTTGTAACTCTTGTCGGTGCAAGTAACCCTGTGTTCTTCCTCGTCGAATCTCACTGATTTAAAACAAACCAAGTCGACCGCTCACGTGGCCTCGTTCCTTGACAGTATATCTAAACTAAGACATGCGCTGTCTTTTGGGATGTCATGTAGCATGATCGATATGATACACGCACAAATGTTCAACTACCGAATTGTCAAAACCAACGATTTCTTTGGGTGACGTGTTTGATGGTAAGGATGATATGACTCGATTCCGAGGCGCACCGGAGTTTCAAAAACCAAGGATCATATGCAGTAGACTGGACAGCAAGGTCAAAAAGAGTATCAAGGTAGTGTGTGTGGATTACTTGTAGAGTGGTTGTAGATGGTTGAGGGTGTCAGTCGGGAACTCCAAACTTGGCCCGTGCACCCCTCGACCTTCTCCAAGCCTCACACATGACCCTCCCTCTGCCATCCAACTTTATGCGCTCTGCGGCATTTTATTATATGGCCTAGACCTTGTATTCCAATGTCCACCCTGGGGTGTGATTCGCAAATATGGCCCAAGCAGGTGCAATCACAGACGTGACCCAACGGTTGTTCGTGGAGCTCAAGTCAAAGAATGAGGAGGCCAGGGCCAGAGCTGCCTACGAGCTCTACGAGAATGTCCTATCGGTGTCCAGAGGTATTGTCAGTTGAACTCGGAAACCCCTAACTAGCTGACGTATTACCTTGTACAGATTGGCCATCGGAGAAGTTCGTGGAATTTTACAATGCCGTTAGCCAACGTATCGCCCAACTCGTGGTCAACGGTAGCGATGCAAACGAAAGAATCGGTGGCTTGTTAGCACTCGATCGGCTTATTGATTTTGACGGTGTCGATGCGGCTCAGAAAACAACCAGATTTGCCAGTTACTTGCGCAGCGCTCTTCGCAGCAATGATAACGTGGTCCTGGTGTATGCGGCCCGATCGCTGGGCCGGCTCGCGAAGCCCGGCGGGGCTCTGACCGCAGAACTGGTGGAAAGCGAAATACAATCAGCATTAGAATGGTTGCAATCGGAGCGCCAGGAAAGTCGGCGGTTTGCAGCAGTGCTTGTGATCCGGGAATTGGCCAAGGGCTCTCCAACACTCCTCTACGGCTTCGTTCCGCAGGTCTTCGAGCTTGTCTGGGTTGCCCTTCGAGACCCCAAAGTCCTTATCCGTGAGACTGCTGCCGAGGCGGTCGGTGAATGCTTTGAAATAATCGTGGCTCGTGATTCTCAAGTCCGTCAATCATGGTTTGCGCGAATACACGATGAAGCACTTCTGGGCTTGAAGTCCCATAATATCGATTGGATCCATGGCTCTATTTTGATCATCAAAGAATTGATCTTGAAAGGCACAATGTTCATGAAAGAACATTATCGGAATGCCTGTGAAATCATTCTTCGTCTCAAGGACCATCGTGACCCAAAGATTCGCACCGAAGTCGTCCTCACCATCCCCATTCTTGCCTCATATGCCCCCACTGATTTCACTGAGATATACCTACACAAATTCATGGTCTACCTCCAAGCGCAACTCAAGAGAGACAAAGAGAGGAACTCCGCCTTCATCGCCATTGGAAAGATTGCCAATGCAGTGGGCACTGCTATTGGCCAGTATCTCGATGGCATCATCATCTACATTCGAGAGGGACTTGCCATGAAGGCGAAGAATCGGTCGGGAGTTAACGAGGCGCCAATGTTTGAGTGTATCAGCATGCTGTCCCTCGCAGTGGGGCAGGCGCTCAGCAAATACATGGAAGCTCTGTTGGATCCCATCTTTGCCTGCGGACTAAGCAAATCATTAACACAGGCTCTGGTCGACATGGCCCATTACATTCCCCCCATCAAACCCATGATCCAGGAAAAGCTTCTTGACATGCTCAGCATCATCCTTTGTGGGACGCCATTTCGGCCCCTCGGGTGTCCTGAAAACCGACTGCCTCCTATGCCATCATTCGCTAAAGACTTTGCACCGCACGAGCTTCACTCCGATTCTGATATTGCATTAGCGCTTCATACATTGGGCAGCTTTGACTTCTCCGGGCATATACTAAATGAGTTCGTGCGTGATGTTGCTATCAACTACGTGGAAAATGATAATCCCGAAATTCGAAAAGCGTCAGCTCTTACATGCTGCCAGCTGTTCGTTCATGATCCGATCATCAACCAAACCAGCGGACACTCCATCCAAGTCGTCAGCGAAGTCATTGACAAGCTCTTGACTGTAGGTATCGGAGATCCTGATCCTGAAATCCGACGCACCGTTTTGTGGTCGTTGGACCGCAAATTTGATCGGCACTTGGCACGACCAGAGAATATTCGATGTTTGTTCTTAGCAGTCAATGATGAGGTTTTTGATGTCAAGGAAGCCGCGATCTGCATTATCGGTCGACTTTCCAGCGTCAACCCTGCTTATGTGTTCCCGCCACTACGAAAACTGCTGGTCAATCTTCTCACCGGCCTTGGCTTCGCGAATACTGCCCGCCAAAAGGAGGAAACGGCTCAACTCATCAGCTTGTTTGTCTCTAATGCGACAAAATTGATCAGGTCATACGTTGATCCTATGGTGACCGCCTTGTTACCCAAGTCAACAGACATTAACCCAGGCGTTGCTGCCACTACTCTGAAGGCTGTCGGTGAGCTTGCCAATGTTGGCGGCCATGAGATGAGACAATATCTGCCTCAGATTATGCCGATTATTCTGGACTCACTCCAGGATCTTTCGTCGCATAACAAACGTGAAGCTGCGCTTCGGACATTGGGACAGTTGGCCAGCAATTCAGGATACGTTATTGAGCCATACATGGAATACCCCCATCTTCTCGCCGTGCTCATCAATATCATCAAAACAGAACAGACAGGCTCTCTACGCAAGGAGACCATCAAGCTTCTTGGAGTCCTCGGAGCCCTCGATCCCTATAAGTACCAGCAGATCAGCGAGATTGAACCTGATGTGCATCATATCAATGAAATACAAAATGTTTCTGATGTTGCCCTCATCATGCAGGGGCTCACCCCCTCCAATGAGGAGTACTATCCCACGGTGGTCATTCATACTTTGATGCAGAACATTCTTCGAGAAAATTCCCTGGCGCAATATCACTCAGCTGTCATTGATGCCATCGTCACAATTTTCAAGACTCTGGGCTTGAAGTGTGTCCCGTTCCTCGGACAAATCATTCCAGGGTTTATTTTGGTTATCAGAAGCGCTCCTTCTAGCCGCCTCGAGTCTTATTTCAACCAGATGGCAATCCTGGTGAATATCGTGCGACAGCATATTCGCACTTTCCTGCCAGAGATAATCGAGGTCATCAGAGACTTCTGGGACGCTTCATTTCAAATTCAAGGTACGATTATATCCTTGGTCGAGGCGATTGCTAGGTCGTTGGAAGGAGAATTTAGGAAGTATCTTGCTGGCCTGATCCCTTTGATGCTCGACACCCTTGATAAAGACACCTCGCCTCGCCGACTGCCCTCCGAGAAGATTCTTCATGCTCTTTTGATTTTCGGCACAAGCGGGGAGGAATACATGCATCTCATCCTTCCTTCAATTGTTCGATTGTTCGATCGACCACAAAATCCTCAGAGCATCCGCAAATCCGCCATCGATAGCTTAACGAAACTATCGCGGCAAGTCAATGTCTCTGACTTTGCATCTTTAATGGTTCATTCCCTATCACGAGTCGTGGCTAGCGGTGATCGTGTGCTGCGTCAAGCTGCTATGGACTGCATTTGTGCTCTCATTTTCCAGCTCGGGCAAGACTTCACGCACTACATTCATCTTCTAAACAAGGTCCTGAAAACCAATCAGATCACGCATGTCAATTACCAAATCCTGGTGACGAAACTCCAGAAGGGCGATCCACTTCCGCAGGACCTCAATCCAGAAGAGGTCTATGCTTTCCCGACTGATGACACCAATTTTTCCGAAATTGGACAAAAGAAGATTGTTGTGAACCAGCAACATCTAAAGAATGCGTGGGATGCTTCGCAAAAGTCTACTCGTGAGGATTGGCAGGAATGGATACGCCGTTTCAGCATTGAGCTGTTGAAGGAATCTCCATCCCCCGCATTGCGTGCTTGTGCTAGCTTAGCCGGAATCTATCAGCCGCTCTCAAGGGACCTTTTCAATGCTGCTTTCGTCTCGTGCTGGACCGAGTTGTATGATCAATATCAAGAAGAGCTTGTCCGCTCAATTGAAAAGGCGCTTACTTCTCCCAACATCTCCCCA